ATTTGCAGGGGACCAGTTCTTATCCTAGACAATTGTTACTTTAGTCATGCATGTACATAAATAAATGTAACTTTGCTATTTACCTCAAGCTGTTTTGAATTTAATACAGTTTATTTACTTTTTCAACTTCCCTCAAGTTCATTATGAGCTTAAAGAAGTTATTGTAACTTGAAGCTAAGCCTTAGTTTCACTTTCACATTGTGAGTTTCCTATAGGAACTCAAAGTGTCTTGTCGAAATGAAACACTCTGTTAATCTGACAAGGTAGATGTGGGGTGAGATAGTTGGCCTATAGGGTAAAGTGTTTGCTATAATATCCACAGATCTAGGTTTGGTTCTGACATGAGTACAATCTGGAGCCACACATTTGTTTCTCTGACGTCATCTATCTTGATTTTGCTAACACTGACATTCGACCAATACGCACTCACTCCATAGGGGGTGCAGACAGTATGCTCAATGAACATGATGAAGAGGCTGTGACTATCACATGCGTTTTGTCCATGTATGCACCAGGAAAGCCACTTACACAGTGTCACACAGTCAAATGGAAACTTAAACTCTCCACATTGTTAAACTGCTTAGAAAAGAAAGCATGCATTGCTTTCAGGGACCCTTGAAGATCCGGGGCAGAACAGGTCTTCAGCAATCCATTCTTGCCATAAAAGGCGATCGGGATCGGGTTGTGCATGTCATCGTGTTCCAATTGCGTGGATGGTGCTCAATACTGCTCATGATGTCAATCACTGGATTGTCTGGTCCAGATTCGATTATTTACAGAATATCATCATATAGCTTGAATATTGCTGAGTGCGGCGTTAAACAAACAAACAAACAAACAAACAAACAATTCTCTCAGGTCTTTGCTACATTGAACATGGACAATGCTACTTCTTCTGTACTAGACTCATTGATTGTGTACAAGCACCTGCCAGTATACCTGCCTACCATAACGTTACTACAGATGTATACAATGTGGGCTTCCTAAAGGCACCTACCACCAGATGTGCTCTGCAGCATGCTGCGTTTCTGTGGCATCAAGATAGAGCATGGTTTGAGATTGTGGTCAGTGAGCATTGCTCTTGGGTCTCAGTAAAAACGAACATATTGCATGTCTGTCACTTTAGCCTCTAGCCTCCCAAGTCTAGTAAAATTTCTTCTTGCCTGGTAAGATCAGCTAAGGTCTAGTGGTAGAGCGTCCTCCCGGAGAGTGGAAGATCCTGTGTTCGATCCCCGTCCATGACATAACAAGACGCTAAAAGATGGTACTTGTTGTTACCCTGTCCGGCGCTCTGCATTAAGGGTCTAAAACAAGGACTGGTCGGCTCGGAGTCAGTATACTGTGTCTGAGTGGGGTATCTCAGTGGACTAGCACTAGAAAATCAGCATCAGTCCGGACGTGTACAAGCAGCCACACGCACGCATGCACCGCACGCACGCACGCACCGCATGCACCGCACGCATGCACGTCGCTATATAAGTGCAATAACCTTGGACGCGACGTTAAACCTCACCTCACCTCACCTATATGCTAAGACAAATATATACTGAAATAATGCCATAAATACTTGTTCAGAGTCAAAAGGTTTTGGAACAGATTAACTAAATTGTATTTTGACATCATTAAGTTTTGTAAATATCTTTTTACAAAAGTGGCACCTCCAAGCATACAATCTCGCAACCAGACAATTTTAGAATTCTGTTATAATTTAGTTCTGAAATAAGCTTTGGAAGCAATGAAATTCGTTTAATGGCATGTCAAGCTGACATGGCTCAATCTTAGTTGGCCATTTTGTGTATGAATGAGGCATGATAGCCTGGATTTTATTTTTGCCTTAATTGAATGATAAGCATGTGATGGTGAGAGTGTAGAGGAAATGTCATATTGACACAAGTGCATCATGGGAAAGATTGTGTAACAGCCAGGAGCTGCAGCTATTCGGTCTGTGTTGACTTTTACATACACTGGTGGAACTCGCACACTTCTTCACGATGACTCACTTTACCTAGAGACCTGCACCATGTAGACTTGCTACAACTTGGATATAAACATTCTAGATTTGCTAAAACTACCTACACTTGGATATAAACAATCTGGACTTACTCCAAATACCTACAATTGGATATAAACAATAAAGACTTGCTACTGCTACTGCTACCAGCATTTTGACATACACAATGTAGACTTGCTTCAGCTACCAACATTTGGACATGCACAATGAAGACTTGCTTCAGCTACCAACATTTGGACATGCACAATGTAGACTTGCTTCAGCTACCAACATTTGGACATGCACAATGTAGACTTGCTTCAGCTACCGACATTTGGACATGCACAATGTAGACTTGCTTCAGCTACCAACATTTGGACATGCACAATGTAGACTTGCTTCAGCTACCAGTGAGTGAGTGAGTTGGGATTAACGCAGCTTTTAACAATATTCCAGTTATATCGCGGCGTGTCAGCTTAATGTGGGAGGAAAGCCCGAAGTGATGCAGGTCTCAGACATTTACCACTTCGGTGAAACCAACGAGCATGGGTATGGTGCTGACAAACCTAGAAACATAATCGGGGCGAACCGGGATTCGAACCCACAATCATAGGTTTCTGGCGTGCCCAAGGGACGCAACTCTGCACAGCTAATCGCGGCGCCTTAGATGACTGGGCCACACGTGCCCCCGCTTCAGCTACCAACATTTGGACATGCACAATGTAGACTTGCTTCAGCTACCAACATTATGACATTCACAATGTAGAATTGATTCCGCTACCAACATTTGGACATACACAATGTAGACTTGCTTCAGCTACCAGCATTTGGACGTATACAATGTAGACTTGCTTCAGCTACCAACATTTGGACGTATACAATGTAGACTTGCTTCAGCTACCAGCATTTGGACGTTTACAATGTAGACTTGCTTCATCTACCAACATTTGGACGTATACAATGTAGACTTGCTTCAGCTACCAGCATTTGGACATACACAATGTAGACTTGCTTCAGCTACCAACATTTGGACATTCACAATGTAGACTTGCTTCAGCTACCAACATTTGGGCATACACAATGTAGACTTGCTTTAGCTATCAACATTTGGACATACACAATGTAGACTTGCTTTAGCTACCAACAGTTGGACATGCACAATGTAGACTTGCTTCAGCTACCAGCATTTGGACGTATACAATGTAGACTTGCTTCAGCTACCAACATTTGGGCGTATACAATGTAGACTTGCTTCAGCTACCAGCATTTGGACATGCACAATGTAGACTTGCTTCAGCTACCAGCATTTGGACATTCACAATGTAGACTTGCTTCAGCTACCAACATTTGGACATATACAATGTAGACTTGCTTCAGCTACCAACATTTGGACATGCACAATGTAGACTTGCTTCAGCTACCAACAGTTGGACATGCACAATGTAGACTTGCTTCAGCTACCAATATTTGGACGTATACAATGTAGACTTGCTTCAGCTACCAACATTTGGACATACACAATGTAGACTTGCTTCAGCTACCAACATTTAGACATGCACAATGTAGACTTGCTTCAGCTACCAACATTTGGACATGCACAATGTAGACTTGCTTCAGCTACCAATATTTGGACATACACAATGTAGACTTGCTTCAGCTACCAACATTTGGGCGTATACAATGTAGACTTGCTTCTGCTATTTATGCCCCATACATGCCCCATGCTTCTTCGACTTGATTAGAGACATTGATTGTACACGTGCTGCTGGCACTTGCCGATATACCCACACTGCAACATTACTATGTACAGATAGTTCGTACAGGCGACCCTACCAGACATGCAGCGTGGACTTTCTACCACAGATATGCTCTACTGAATGCTCTTTATGTTGCAAAAACATTGAGTGAGGTTGGATAATGATATCTTGACGTTGTGGTTATTGAGGGGTGTTTAGGGGTTGTGATTGTGGTTATTGAGGGGTGTTTAGGGGTTGTGATTGTGGTTATTGAGGGGTGTTTAGGGGTTGTGATTGTGGTTATTGAGGGACGTTTAGGGGTTGTGATTGTGGTTATTGACGGATGTTTAGGGGTTGTGATTGTGGTTAGTGAGGGGTGTTTAGAGGTTGTGATTGTGGTTATTGAGGGACGTTTAGGGGTTGTGATTGTGGTTATTGAGGGACTTTTAGGGGTTGTGATTGTGGTTATTGACGGATGTTTAGGGGTTGTGATTGTGGTTAATAAGGGGTTGGGATTGTGGACATTGATTGTTTTGATGGTGGAGGGAGAGTTTGAAAGAGTGTGAGTCACTGTCACCCACCCAGCGTACCTCGTGTCTGTTCTGTTATGTCCCACAGGTCTCGGCTAGTTACATCTGCCCACAGTGACTGAGTCAATATTTATGTCTACATACTGGCTTTATCTGTTGTGTCAATACCAGAGATCAATGGCTCCAATACTGGGAATGGTGTTAATCATTTTACTGTCAGTTTTTCTCAGGCTCCTTCATATCGTCACATTTACATAGACATGTGTTACTGTGAGAAGTGTCGCCCTGGTGGATTCAGCCCTGGGGAGAAGCACTGTATAGGGCTTGTATACCACATCATGTGTGTTGACCATTGTGATAGCAACAGGTTTTCAATTATATGGGAAAAAATATATTGTTGCAAGTAAATTAGTAATATTTCTGAAAAAACAGTATACTTTCTGCTAGGACTTTTTATCCTCATATTAGTGAATGATAGCTTCTAGTTTTTTATCTTATTTTGTCATTTCATCTCTATGATGAATCTTTCATAGCAAGAATTAAATTAAGGAGAGTAAAATTGCTTGAAGATTTTTAAGGAATCAAACAGTAATTTGGATCATGGTGATAAGCTATTTTTTAAAGTATGCCATTTATTTTTAATTTTTTTACGTATCAATATCATGAGCATCTGATGTATTTGTAGAATGAAATGGAGAGTGAAATTATTGATTAAGTTCTAAGTGTCTTGTATTTATATTGCAGGATATTGCCAGTAAGGGGCTAAAGATGTGTAACAACCGGAGTGTAGAACTGGCCATTGAGAGCATCCACAGACTGCTGTGCCAACAGAAGGAGGGCAAGAATGGAATCACCAAAGGTAGCCTAAATTATCTGGGTTTTAAGTGTCAAATACAAAAAAACTAATGACAAAACTTTACCATCAACACTTCATTAACCATTCATGACTTAACAATGCGACCGCCTCCGTGGTCTAGTGGTAGAGCGTCCGCCCGGAGAGCGGAAGGTCCGGGGTTCGATCCCCGACCGCGTCATACCAAAAGACGTTAAAAGATGGTACTTGTTGTTACCCTGTCTTGCGCTCGGCATTAAGGGGCTAAAACAAGGACTGGTCAGCTCGGAGTCAGTATACTGTGTCTGAGTGGGGTATTCATGTTAAAATGCAGCATGGTATCTCAGTGAGCTAGCACTATAAATCGGCATCAGTCCGGACTAGTACAAGCAGCCACACAAACACACACACGTACATGCACGTCGCTATATAAGTGCAATAATCTTGGACGCGACGTTAAACCCAATTTCACCTCACCTCACTTAACCATTTTAACAATGCTTTAAATTAAAGACAATTGTGTTACAGTTCTTAAAGGTCAAATCAAAGACAGTGCCAAAACAATTCAATTTGAAATAGATTATTGAAGTTACAGTTGAATATATGTTAAATCAATGAGTAATTGGCCCTTGTAAAGACTTTAAATATCTGGAAATAGTCTTTTCATGATAATCATTACAATATCAATAATGAAAGTTTTATTATGTAAAAATGCAGATTTAAATCCAGTTTCTGTACTTGCTTGGAAATATTTTGAGTTTTCAAGATAGTAAATGAATTTGATAAGTAATGGGAAATTACTGTAGTTTCTTGTCCAATAATTGGTATATTCCCCAGTGTAATAAATGTTGTATTGCACCCCTACTTCTTGTGATGTTGCTACACTGTACTACACTGTGGTGTTTGTGTTCCTACAGGCTACAGTGGGTATAAAGTACATCGGAAGCCCAGTTTCTCCAGTAGCCCGGCAGCATCAGACACAACAAGTGTGCGATCTGACAGCCCAAGTCTCTCAAGCCTCGGCCGCCAGTACCAGGAATCATCTCGCGGACAGACCCCGATGATGAACGGTCATCAAACTCCACCCCCACTGCCGCCACGTGTGCCAATTGTGTCGCATACCCCACCCCGTGGACAGACACCCCCACCCCCTGGGCCACAACCGCAGTCTGACTCAGGGGGTAGCATTGGTCATCCCTCCTCTGTGCTTAGCTCTGGTCAGTCAGGAAACCAACAGGTTGTGATCACCCAGGGTCACGTGAAGGAGATGATCAAGATCATGGGTCGTGAAGGGGGTAGTGTAAGCAGACAGCAACAACAGCAGCAGCAGCAGCAGCAACAGCAACAACAGCATCAAACCATGTACCGCACAGGGCAGTATATTCATCCCCAGCAATCAAGTCAAATCAACAGTGGGCCAGTGACTCCGCAGCGCGGTATGAGTCCAGTGCCGTCGGGCAGACCTCCAGTAATAATGCATAATGGACAGCCACAGACTGTTCCGCAAACTGCCTCAGTAACCCAGCAGTTCAAAGGTTTAACAATATCCCAGAATGGGGCGAATGGTAGCAATGGGAACACCAGGTTAACTATAAACTTTTCCCCTGGCCACCCTCCGCCACCCTATTCTCAGCCCCAACCATCACGCTCCACTGTTGTGCATATTCAGGGCAACCCGCCTTCCTCGTCCTCCCATATTCCAGACTATTCTGTAAACGAAACCCAGATAACTGTCAAGAATGGAACGTCACAAATGACAGGGGACAATGTACAGATTCACTTCCCTAAGAAGGTGGCCGGACCACCAGTGTCTGCCGCTATGCGTGCATTTGATCAGCGCCATGCACCAATTATTATGCAATCAGTGAAAAGTGAGAAGGTGACAAAACCGCAGCCACAGACAGCCACAGGTCCCATGTCTCCCCCCAGCCAGCCTACCAGCACATCTGGGGGGTCCTACATATCATCGGTTCAAGCTCAGATCAATGCACACCAGTCTGCTCAACCACCTCCCCTGCCACAGAGCAAGAACACACGCAATGTGGAAATTCAAATCACACGAAACCCTCAAAATGGAGGGCATTATATTCCCGAACAGGTGGCTCACCTTCAGCAGCAACACCAACATCAACAACAGCAACAGCACAGACCAACAATTAAGATTCAAATTGCAAATAATAAGAGTCAGCAGCACCAGCATCCGTATGTTCCCAACCACTGTCAAAGTGTTCAGATACCAAATTTCGGACATAATTATGACTTTTATCCTCGGTCAGCTTCTGACACGCCTTCTACTCCACGTTCAGACTCTCCTGTGTCGAGGACAACCAACCAGTCTCCTTCTGTGTTATCAACTACTTCTACCCCTTCAACAAATTCTGATGTTCCTGACAAGCCACCTCCACCCTACCCAGCATGGTATCCGTCGCACGCACATTTACCACAAAGTCAGCCTCCCATTCCGCCACGCGTTCCTCTAACGCCACACGCAAAACCTCCTCCACCTCCTCCCCCAAGCAGTCAATTCCAGGCACACATGGGGTCAAGACCACCCCCTCTTCCTCCACATATGTCTTCCCAGTTTCAGCCAGTGCCAAGTATGTCCCCCTCTTCTCAGCCTCAACCCCCCGGGCAGTTTGTATCCCAGGGTCATCACTTCTCAGCAATATCCTCGCAGACGACCGTGTCGCCCATGGGCGTCTCACGGTACCCTCCCCCAGCGCCTGCCACGCCCACATCAGACTGCTCAAGTTGTCACCATACATCAGAACAAAATGATGAAACAGACACTGAAACGATTTCCTCAGATACCAGTACTAGTATATCACAAGAAAAGCACAGATGTATGTCTCCTATTCCAGAGAGGCGACCGGATTATCGTGAACGTGACCGCTTAAGAAGTGACACTAAAGTGCGGAATTATTCGCCTCAGGCATTTAAATTCTTCATGGAACAACATGTAGAGAACGTACTGAAGTCATATCAGCAGCGTCTTCATCGACGGATGCAGCTTGAGAACGAGATGACCAAAGTAGGGTTGTCGGAGGAGGCCGCTCGGCAAATGAGAAGGATGCTCACCCAAAAAGAATCCAACTACATTCGATTAAAAAGAGCCAAGATGGACAAGTGCATGTTCGAAAAGATCAAAACACTTGGCGTTGGAGCATTTGGGGAGGTTGCGTTAGTGCGAAAGAAGGACGTAGCAACACTTTATGCAATGAAGACGTTACGAAAGAGTGATGTGTTAAAACGGAACCAGGTTGCTCATGTGAAAGCTGAACGTGATATTTTAGCAGAAGCTGACAATGAATGGGTAGTTAAACTGTATTACTCATTCCAAGATCGGGATCACCTTTACTTTGTGATGGATTATGTTCCTGGTGGCGACTTAATGGGGCTGCTCATTAAGTTTGAGATTTTAGAAGAACCTCTGGCAAGGTTCTATATTGCTGAGCTAGTTTTGGCAATAGAAAGTGTTCACAAGATGGGATTTATTCATAGAGACATCAAACCAGACAACATCCTAATTGATAAAGAGGGGCATATCAAATTGACTGATTTTGGTTTATGTACCGGATTTCGATGGACCCACAATTCCAAATACTATCAAAAAGGTGAGTTTCCTTTTGATGAATTGGATCTTTCACAAGCTGTTGGTCTAAGTTTATTGATGGGGGCACGGGTGGCCCAATCATCTTATGTGTTGCAATTTACTGTGCAGAGTTGTGTCCCTTGGGCATGCCAGAAACCTATGATTGTGGGTTCGAATCCCAGTTCGACCTGATTATGTTTCTAGGTTGTCAGCACCTTACCCATGTTTGAGGGTTTCACCAAAGTGGTAAATGTCGGAAACCTGCATCACTTCACACTTTCGTCCCACAAGCTGGTTAAGAAACACCCAGTTCTTTCATATAACTATAGTTAATATGTCATGCCATGATTCATATTAAGGGGTGGTGGGGTAGCCTAATGGTTAAGACGTTCACTTGTCACCCCGAAAAATCAGGTTCAATTCCCCACATGGGTACAATGTGTGAAGTCCATTTCTGGCGTCCCCCTCTGTGATATTGATGGAATATTGCTAAAAGCATTCACTCATTCTTTTATATTACTTTCTTTAATCTGTCATGCCATGATAGGTTAACTAATAATTTGAAAGAATCGGGTGTTCCTTCACTTGTTTTGAGTAGCATACATCAATGATCAAGCTCTGATCTGGACATTTCCTATAAAACAGGCTGTAAACACTGAGTGTTTCAAAAGCTAAGATGTTGTGGTTCCATTTTTCACTTTTTTTAAATGTAATCCACCTGAATTATGGGCTTGAGGCCATATTAGGCAAGTCAATATCAACTATAAATACACGCTCGTAGATTATCAGGACCAAGAGTTTTTTCAGTGCTCTACAGCAGCTGACATTAACACCATGATAGTTGTCTTACTCCTCACAACTCGGCTTGCTTTAGGACTTTCAGTGATGTAAAGCTCAAAAGATTTAAAGAAGACCAGTTTTTTCATACGTCTATAGTTCTATCGTGTCATGACAGATTAACTATAGTGATGTGAAAGATTATGGTGGTCTTAAACTTCTCATGAGTAGTATATATCAACTGTGTCAAATCAGATTTTACCTGTTAGTCATTAATACCTGAGTCTTATTTTAAAAAACCATGAAGATCCGGTATAGAGTAGGTCTTCAGCAACCCATGCTTGCTTGCTTGTCGTAAGAGACGACTAACGTGATCGAGTGGTCAGGCTCGCTGACTTGGTTGATGCATGTCATTGTATCCCAATTGCATGGATCGATGCTCATGCTCAATCACTGGATTGTCTGGTCCACTCGATTATTTACAGACCGTTGTCATGGACCAGACAGTCTAGTGATTGTTGTCTTGAGCATCGTTCCACGCAATTGAGATACAATGACATGCAGCAACCAAGTCAGGGAGCCTGACCACCCGAACCCGTTAGTCGCCTCTTACGACAAGCATAGTCACCTTTTATGGCAAGTAACTCGGATCTTCACGGATAGCTATTTTTAGTAGTGAACTTGAAATGATAATTACAATACATTTTGCGATATTTGACTAATATTTAATTGGTAGGTCATTAAACGTGTAGTAAGTAATTAAGTGTATCTTCAAGTATCGATACAGAAATTTCTTATCGTGTATCGTTTCGCACGAAAACTCATGATCCACTGGTGTATCGTTTTGCTCCTAGTGAGCCATGTTGTGTTGTCATGACAATACTTTTGATACACCTATTGTATTCTAAGACCTACATCCACTGTCTTTGTACCCATCATGGCTGTGACGTGATGTCAGTTGAAGGTTACACCGTGAATACCAATGATGACAGCATTGTCAAAACACGAACACAAGCCAGCATTGTCCTCACGTGGATGTTGTATGTTGGAGAAGAGGACTTTCATGGTTGACCATTGTTCTGCTGCTGCAGGCTGTAGGGAAGTCAGGACACAAAGTCCAACAATGTAGTACTAATGGCATGTAACGCACCCTGCCACCAGCCACTGTACACAAACGACCAGTGTTGGGTGGGGGATATTTGACATTATTATACCTTGTATGATGTCATGACAGCCTTGTCCAGACAAGAGGTGAGTTAAGGCCCATATTTGATGTCAGCAGACATGTTTGGTTCTAAAACCGTGGATTAATGAGACCACTACGATCTTTCGCCTTTGTAGCCATGGAATTTTCATTAATAATCAAAACTGAAAACTCTGTTTACTGTAGACTACATGATGTGGCTTAAATTCAGTACATATCAACTTAGGTATGTTAGAGTTGGCCTCAAATTGTTAAGGTTTTTGGATTGACCTTCATTAACATGATTAAAGGTATTACGTTCAAGGTCACGGAAGATTATTAGTAAAGTAGGTTGTGCCAGGTTGAGTTATATTTCCTTTTCGTAGATAATTAACTTTGTTTGCATCTTAATGATTTGAGTAATGGTATGTATCTTACTTATGACAGACTTGATGTAATAGGTCACTAGTAATAGATCACTGGTAACAGGTCATTAGTGAGGGGCTCCACACTGTCTGTCTCTGCAAGATTAGGGGGCATGGGTGGCCCAGTCGTCTAAGGCGCCATAATTCGCTGTGCAGAGTTGCATCCCTTGGGCACGCCAGACACCTGTGATTGTGGGATTCGAATCCCGGTTTGCCCTTGTTTGTTTCTAGGTTTGTCAGCACCATGCCCGTGCTTGTGGGTTTCACTGAAGTGGTAAACGTCTGAGACCTGCATCACATCGGGCTTTCCTCCCACATTAAGCTGACACGCCGTGATATAACTGGAATACTGTTAAAAGCGGTGTTAAACACAATGCACTCACTCACTCACTCACTCACTCACTCACTCACTCACTCTGCAGCATTAAACATGTTAGACACACCCCATGGTTGTCATATTTAGTACTCATTTACTGTTCAAAGTAGCTTTAAACCCAACTCACTCACTTACTCACAATTCTGTTTCATAATCCTTATGAATTCTTATGATTATCTTTCATTGATTCCAAAATGCTCTCTTAGCTGTCAAAATGTAACTGGAGCATTTTCATGTTTACTCCTGATGTACAAAGTGCTGGGGTCAAGGTCAAGGTCAAGGTCAAGGCAATTACAGTATTTAACCTGCTCAGCAGTGTTCTCAACAAGTGAAACCTAACTCAATTGTTTCCTTCTTAGGTTATTGGCAGTTGCAAATGTTTATAATTCCTATGGTACTTCAAACTTATCATTCCACACTTGTGGTAAGATGTGACTAAAATCGAATCCGATGTTCAGACTTGTCTTATTGCATGTCCTTGTTCCTGATTGGTCATGATAACAACCACTAGCTGGCCGGGTCTACACTTGATTATTTAAATGTACATCTATATTTACAGGCCACTGTTATAGAGGTGGAACATGGCAGACTGCAGTGGTAAAAAACATCATTAAGTCTCTCAGGAAAATATTACATAAGTGACAGTCTCTTTTGACCTCTGAAGTTTTTATCTTTTCAAAATAAGGATGAATGTGTACTCAAAGTCAGTTCAAGGTTATCACAGTGTTTATGTCCTGAAGATCATATTTCAGTTTTCATAACTTGAAGGAAGACTAGTGAAACATGGTAGCAGCTTGTGGTCCATTGATGGGTCGTGTGTTAGTGAAAATGCAGACTCCAGAACATCAACGTACACGACTCCATTCACAGTTTGCTTGCTACACGAACATACGCAGTCATTTTGATTAATACAGTAAACAGTACTTCTTCTGTTCATGAAAAACGTGAATTCATTCACCACGATAATTATGAAACAGGATGCTCCTTCCTTTCAGCTGACAGCAGGATGCTTATGTCATGGGTCTTTGTCTGTCGTCTGTCACTCCATTAGCACTGAACTTTAAAGACTGCTTCTGTGAAACTATTGATAGGATGTTCAGAATTATATTTATAAAACGTGTTCTGCATGCTCCTGGTTACAACTAGATAGACATTTAACTTTTAAAAAGTGAATATGACGTTTATCCACAGCGCTGTTTAGTGAAGAATACCGCCTTCACACCGATGTCTTCTCTGATCTTTCTGGCATATGATTGCCAGACATTGATGGCCAAGGTCACTACTTACATTATAAACATACAAACAGCTATTATCCCAATAACTTAAGATTTTATGATCAGTTATGACTGAACTAGGCATACATGGTCTAGACAAGGTCTAATGTAGGACTGGTTAACTTGTGTGAAAGGTCAAGGTTGCTAGAATTTATGAAATGGAAATATTCATGAATAATATCTGAGTGCTATTATACTAAAATATGAAACATCTCTGTTTATGGCTTCATTTTTTAAAGGTTTGCTACGTGGAAACATAAATTATGGTTTTGAATGATTTATTGGTGCAATTTATTTTTTGAGTAAAGGGTGAACTTTCTGTATCTCATTCATGTAATACAGGCATCACTTGTGCTTTGTATTTAAAAAAAGTATGTGTTTTCTGAGTTGCAATTGCTTCATTTAAATGAGGATACAGACCAAATGACAGACAGAGGATAATGTGTTATGTCAAATTCCAGTAATGAACGTAAATAATGAATTACTCTTGTAATGAAACAAACGAAAACAGTAACATGAAAAAAAACAACCATGCTTTCATTTCTGGAGATAACAGTAAAACCATTAATGCTGATTAAGCTGAAGAGGAATAGTCTCAATCAAAACCCTTCCGCCTTTCTCTTCAAATATCCGAAACTCCTTCCTGTTGAATATTCACACGGTGGTTCGACCCCCTGTCCACATCATTTCAAAAGGTGTTAAAAGATTGTACTTGTTATTACCCTGCCTGGCACTCAGCATTATAAAACCAACATCAGTCCTGACTAGTACAAGCAGACAGACAGATGTGCATGCACACTGCTGTGTGAACGCAACATTTAATGCTTTAAGCTCACCTCACCTCACCTCACCTCACCTCACCTCACCTCACCTCACCTCACCTCACCTCACCTCACTATTCAATTAAAAACATCACACTACACATGAAGCTTTTCATGCCAGAATTCTTTGTCAGTTCTCAATGTGGGATGTGATACCCAACCCTTATTTAAAAGTGTGTATATATTTTGAGGTCTTCATATATAGAACATGATAAATGTTCCATGTCATCATATGATGCTTGAAAACAAATACCAAGTTTAACAGATCCCCACTCAATTATTGATTCGTCAAATAACGGTAAGCCTCTGGACTTGTAATTCTCTGAACTGTTTGAATGCAGATGATCATTTGGAAGGAAAATATAAAACTTTGTGAAATATGCGTAACATGTTTGAATACACAGTAAACTACGGTTATAAAAAACTCAAGTGGCCCACTAATTTTAATTTGTTATAACCGTAGTTTGTTATAAGCATACATACAACATCTATACAGCAAATGGCGGGGACCAAAACTTAAGTTCTTAATATCCGCCAGTTCATTATAAGCATGTTCGTTATAAGCATATTTTACTTTATGTTCATAATATACGCGTTGATCCAGGTACACCCATTGGCTATGCTCTCTCTAACAGTGCTTATGATGTATGGTAAGACATATATATGAGGCATATACTGGCTAAGTCAGCAACCATTTATTGCCATCTTTGTGCTATTTCTTAAATATTCAGTGTACAAAGTTGCCTATACTAACAACATTGATTTTTGTTAAAAACTAGGTGCAAATACTCTTATTTCTGTCTGTGGAAAAAGTTTGAGTAGATTTCTGTAATACTGCAAAGAGAGGGAATACAGACAGTCATCACACGGACAGCTTCAGTTATACAAACCACAATTTTTATTATACCTGGTATCATAACGTAGACACAATTAATAGATAACAACTTCTTTAATACTGTAAAAAGCGACGTTTCGGTATAGACTCTATACCGTTGTCAAGCAAGACTGACAGTATTAAAGAAGTTGTTATCCATAAATTGTGTCTACTTTGTGATGCCAGACATAATAAAAAATGTCATTGTGTCTACTTTGTCATCCGTCAACTTCTAAGTAATGCCTATCCAGCAATTCATCTCTGGTATCACACTCAATTACTTTATCCAGTAAAATTAATAAGAAGCATTTTTCATCAATTTGTCGTATGCCAACTGATGTAAAGTAATATTCCCAACATTTGTACTACACAAGCTTATCCTAACACACTAGGGATTTTACAATAAATAATTGTTATGTACTTTTGGAAAAGAGCTGAATTAGGTTTTTGAATTGTATTTTGGAGACAAAATAACACAGGTACAAATGTAGTTAGCAATGACAAAACTACACCACCTGTGTGTCACATCTTAAGTTGTATTTGAGCAAGGTGCTCTTTATGGTGTGTTTTGTAAATATTTCCTTACAAGTGTCAGTTTTATTTATCATTTTCTGATAAATATTGCTTTCTTCTAAAGAAAATGAGCTAAAGTAAACAAGAAGCAAGCAATTAGGATATAACGTAAGCAAGCTATAATGAGGTGTTGGCGATAACTGGTCCTCGGCAATAACTAGTCGCTATGCAGTACCATATTCACAAATCATATTGTACTTGAAACACAAATGTCAAATATGGATACTCTGATGTCTTAGATTGCAGATAACTTGATACAAGTTTGTTGGACCTGTGGAGTCAAATATTTATGCCACCCAACCAAGACAGTAGTTTACATGGTGGCGTTCATAACAGTGAAGGCTCTTGGCTCTTGTTCCTATTACAACAGTTGAGCTGTGGAAACTGTACTTGTCTTATGCCATGATTAATAAAATTAACATAAGGCTAACAAAATAATAGTCTTGGTTTTCAGCCAACCCCCAAACATCATAAAGTTTGACACAGGTTTAATTTTTATTTCCATTTTGAAATATTTAAAAAAAAGTCCTTAAATATTCCAAGTCCAACGGTAGTCAAATACTTTATTCCAGTATTATTCTCATTAAGGAATACATTTATGTAGGGAGGCCCTTCCCCTGGTTAATAGTACATAATTGTTTATTGGTTACACAACTGATTATTTGGATACATACTGAGTTTGAACAACCCCCCAAAAGCAAAAAGACACCACCGCCTGCACTTTAGTTTCAAAAACCATTGCCTGAGAACCAATTCTTTTATTTCTTTAAGCCTGTCCTGAAAAATATAGTTAGATATTAGAGCTTCGAAACAGACAAATAATCGATTTGTGTTGGCCATTGAGGATTTCTTTTAATTGATCACAATAAATGTTAATGGAATAAAAAAAAAAAATTCTCGAGATAATCTAAACGTTTGTGTACATGGTCAGGCATGCCTTTGATAGGAGATATTTTTGAAAGTATGACGTCATTGTACACAAGTCCCCACTGGCGTTATAAGACGGTTGGTTATCAAGGAGTGAGCATGGTAAGAGCTATGCATACGACTATATGGGCTTTGATTGTATTACATTCCAGTGGCCTGGTATTTACATGCACTACACTAGGGGACTGTCCACAGTAGGTCAAGTATTGTCAGAGGGCTGTAACATAAGCTGTGTGGGCCAGCCGTAACTGCTGGAGGTTAGGCTGACCTTGTTTATAAAGATAAACACCTCCATTGTGACGTTGCTATATATACTTAAGGATTTAAGGTACTGGGAAATTATATTTAGGTTAATGTTTCTGGTGGTTTTGGAAACCTAGTGGTAGTCTATTCTGAGATATGCTGTGTGGTGTAAGGGAGATAACTCTAGACTTTTTTTATGTAATGGTGTACTTTGAGATACAGCATTGTTGCTCAAGTTGGATAGTCTGAGTTGACTTTTCAAGTTGTTAGGTATTGTTTGATTAAAGGGTTCTTTTACACAAGCGTGAAATGTTTTGATAGATAATGCTGATATCTATCATGTTTATAATTCTTAGTCTTTGATTTAAGGAGTCTTTAAAGCTGTTCATATTTAATTAATTTAACTCGAGACCTGTTGAATTCTTCCCTGAACCTGTCAAAGGAAGGTACCATAACCATGGTAGGATGTCGAGCTCATATACCATTGTATACGGAGATGTTATAATGTCACTGGGATTTTATTCATACAATTTCCGGTGATATTGTAACATGTGAATGTCTCTTACTAGAGATTTTGTTTGCAATTTAACACATTGTTAATGAATCTCTTTGCCATTCACACCTGTCCAGACTCGATTATTTACATATAGCTGGAATATTGCTTAGTGCAGCGTTAAACAACAACAACAAACAAAAAAATCATAAGTTTCATGGAAAGTATTTTTGAAGCATAAAATTGTTGTTAAATGTTGTTTCAAATTTCTTTTTCACATTAGATAAACAATTCTCTTCACGTATAACCCCTTGTACTTCACTTGCTTGATGGAGGTGTTCGAGTCTACATTGAAACATCTCCTCAATTGTAATCTACAAATTGTCTATCCATACAAACTTGTCCTTGTTCATTGTCTGAGTTGTCTGTAACTTTGTTTTCCTGTTCTGTGATTCAGATGGCACTCACGCACGCCAGGATTCAATGGAAGTAACGTGTACTCTAGACGAGCGGTGCAGATGTGAAATACTCAAACCATTAGAACGACGTCGGCAACGTGCAAGGCAGCGTTGTCTCGCTCACTCACTGGTCGGAACACCAAATTACATTGCGCCTGAGGTCTTGCTTCGACAAGGTAACGAGAGGAGGCGACATCTTTAATATACTTAAAATGATGCTGTGTAAAATAATTGTCATCTATTTTGTAGGCGACATTCATTTATTGATTATTGTTGTATATTAATGCCCAATGATTATAATTATTATTATTATTTATATTATTATTGATGATGATAAAGATGTTATTCAGGACTGCTACTGTTTCAGGCTATACCTCTTGCTGTGATTGGTGGAGCGTCGGGGTGATCCTGTTCGAAATGCTTGTGGGTCATCCCCCTTTCTACGCCGCCACGCCAGCAGAGACGCAATATAAGGTAACACAGCTTCTGTGATTCGAAGGTGCAAATAATATGGATTTTGGTTAGGTGTTGTGATTATTTCTTTCATGTTGACCTTGAATGCTTTCAGGCAGTGTATCATTATGTTCCTTTGGGGGGTTCATTCATGAGTGATGGAACTGTTTATATGTGGATACGGAACTTCCCCTCGAATATGAAACTGCCCTCTATCCTTCGGGAATGCCTTTACGGCAGCCATCTGGGTTTGCTTTAGGCTGTCAGTTGAGTGACAACTTGTGTTGGTGCAGTAGGTGCATTGTGTTGGCTGATGAATTCAAGTGTATGTATATGAAGAATCCTGTTTCATATTTTCATAGGCTATAAGCATGACTTGCTGTCTTGAAAAATAAGAACATTAGAATTACGTGTGTCAGGTGATTGTTAAACCCTAAGGCTAAAAAAAGCCCAATAGTCTTGGTTCTCGGGCACCGCCTGCATCATCATAAAGTTCTCTGCGCGTTTCGTTTTTATTTCCATTTAAAAAAAATAAATTTAAATCCTGAAATATTCCAAGTCCAATGGTAGTCAAATGCTGTATTCAAGTATTTTACTCGTCAAGGAATGCATTTATGAAGGGGGGCCATTTCTCAGGTTGATTGTAAACAACTGTTTATTTGGTTGCACAACTGTTTATTTGATTGCATACTAATTTAAACAACCACTCCGGTCTCATCTCCCCCCCCCCCCCCCCCCCCCAAAAAAAAAGAAAAGACACTGCCCACTCGCACTATATTTTCAAGAGCCATTGCCTGAGAACCAATTCTTTTATGTTTTTTTAAGCCTAATACACATATATAAACTCATCCATAATATTAACTTGTTTCAGGTGATAAACTGGGCTGAGACATTAAAGATTCCACCAGAGTCTAATTTGTCTAGCGCAGCCAGCAACCTTATTCTGCGTCTATGCTGCGGCCCTGAGGAGCGACTTGGACGAAACGGAGCCATGGAAGTCAAGAAACACCCATTCTTCTCTGATATCAACTATGATGGCCTTCGTCAATCACCTGCACCGTTTGTTCCAACGATCAGATATGCAACAGACACTTCCAACTTTGATCCTGTTGATCCCGAGAAACTTCGGAATAGTGACTCCGAAGATGCAAAGAGAGTGGACTCAAAATATGAAAATGGAAAACATCCTGAACATGCGTTCTTTGAGTTTACATTCAGACGTTTTTTTGATGATGGAGGACATCCGTGTCCTCTCATGAACCCAGACGCCGAGTCCAACTCTCCTGTATATGTTTAGCATCTGCTAAACTTTCTCGTCTTAACCTAATTGTGATAACTAACAAGACTGACCAAGTGCCTGACTGAGATTCAACATGGCCACTCACAGCAGACGCAAGGAATACTGAAGAAAATGTGATATGAACATATGTCGTTGGAGACATAAGCCACTGAACAGGACTTAACTAACTACGACACAAACCCGACAACGACTGTAACCCGTATGATGACAAACGTCCAACTTTCGATGCTGCTGTCTGTGACGCAGCTCTGATGAAAGTAACGCCCTACTTCGAACGCCATCTCCTGCAGAGTAAACTGTCCTCTCTGCCGTGGACTCCTTGCAACGTCGAGCAACGACCAAGCAGAGAAGGAATTACCTTGGTGCAAACTTCATAGAAGAAGATATTCATGAAAAAAAAATGAAAAAAAAGTTAAAGTCTGTTCAGTGTGTCGTCTTGCTGTGAGTGGCTCAGTGATATCTTTCCATAAAATGGAAACGTCCACCATTTGTCAGGCTAGGGGGCGTGGCTTCCCTTGCCTGTCTGGTGAGTCTGCCTGTTGGGCAGGTAACTGTTAAGCTTCTATTAGTGATATTTGTTATGCAGGTCATGTTAGAGAGTGACTTGATGGACCTAATGTCTGACTGTACATAGCAGGGCTGAGTGGGGAGCAGTGTGAAGCTCAGAATGAGTGCATCATCGTGTTATCGCGCTACAGCTAGATCTAAGTCGCCAACTCATCCTTTCCCTCCTAAACGCCATCTTGACTTTCCTCTGCGACAATTTGAGACTCTTAGTGTGCCTTCTTCACCCTCTAACTCTTTCAGCGACAAGTCTCTTGTCAGCAAGGACAAATTATATTTCAACATGAGAAATGATTGCTGAAAGAGTTAACATATTTTTTTTTATAAATTGCTTTACAGAATCTGACAGATAAAAGCATTATCTGTATGTAACATTTGTCATACCGTCCAACTGTTCATTTTGTTCATCCTTTAGATTTTTCCGCGGATCATGTTTGTAGACCTCCTATCACAAATATTCAAATTTGCTGAGTCTCGAGTTCTTGCAAAGGAAATTTAATTTCTTGATGTACATAATCAGCATGGCCATATTATATATCATGCACTGCACAGGCAGTAAATGTGCAGAAGTGCACTTTTTGTACAGAATGTTAGAAGCCCATGCAATCTGCTGCATATCTGCCTGTGTGTGCTGGCATGCCGAAGTGTTTGTGTATGTCGCCAGCCTATGTATGCCGTCTGCCGAAACACAGCTGTGTATGTCTTCTGCCTACATGCCTGTGTATGCCGTCTGCTTGCACGTGTATGCCGTCTGATTGCATGTGTATGCCGTCTGCCTACATGCCTGTGTACGCCGTCTGCTTGCACGTGTATGCCGTCTGCTTGCATGTGTATGTCGTCTGCCTACATGCCTGTGTATGCCGTCTGCTTGCACGTGTATGCCGTCTGCTTGCATGTGTATGCCGTCTGCCTACATGCCTGTGTACGCCGTCTGCTTGCATGTGTATGCCGTCTGCTTACATGTGTATGCCGTCTGCCTACAAGCCTGTGTATGCCGTCTGCCTACAAGCCTGTGTATGCTGTCTGCCTACACACCTGTGTTCGGCATCTGCATATAGCCTGTGTATGTCATCTGCCTACACGCCTGTGCTTATTAGCTTGTACAGAGGTGGGCAGGGCACGCCAACCAGTATGTTAATATGTACATAGTCCGGCTGTGTGTCTGCCCGGCTGTAGTACTGTATAAAGTGATGGGGAGTAGCCATGGCTACACTGTACAGAGCAGTGAAGATGGGATCTGTAAGAAAAGGCAATATTCTTCAATAAAATGTTATTAAACAATACAGTGTCGTTATTGATGTCCGTGGTGAGAGCAGGACCTGGCAGCCTGGATAGGACAAGGCACCCTGGAGAGGCCGAAACACGATACACCAAGTGATTCACGCACTAAACTCTCATTGCACTAACAATCAAAAGAAACATTACAGAACATAAGCCAATGTGAAAACAATTATGATTACAATTCCTGTCTTGAACTTTGTTCATGCTGAATAAATTGATTTTAAGATAATACATTTGATACAAACATGACATAATTGAAATGAGCATCTTAGGACTGGATTGTATTTATATAATCTATGAGATTGGAATAACCTGACATACATGAATGGTCAACTATACTACTCAACATTTGCTAAGGACCACACGACTCGGATGACTTTTGATCATTAGCAGATGTTGAGTGGTATAGTTTGTGAGCAACATATTGAAAATGAAAACCATAACACATTGACAGCATACTGTTTTTCAAATACATTGTTTAGTGTTTTCAAAATAAAAGTGAACTGTGATTATTGTGAAAAGTGAACTTATTCATGGCATGAGGCAACAGTAAGTCTAGAAGCACACATTGTACTGAAAAGAGGGGCCATGGATGAATCATCAGGCAGTGGTCTAAGCATTACTGGATAATGGCTTGTTCAATCTGATGAATACCATAAAGCGGATACATATGGCAGTAGTGTACACTGTTAAGGTCAGTGTAATCGTGGCTGTATCTACTGAAAGAGTGAGTGAGTTGGGTTTAACGCCGCTTTCAACATTATTCCAGTTATATCGTGGCGTGTCAGCTTAATGTGGGAGGAAAGCCCGAAGTGATGCAGGTCTCAGACGTTTACCACTTCGGTGAAACCCATGAGCACGGGTATGGTGCTGACAAACCTAGAAACATAATCGGGGATTCGAACCCACAATCATAGGTTTCTGGCGTGCCCAAGGGACGCAACTCTGCACAGCGAATCGCGGCGCCTTAGACGACTGGGCCACCCGTGCCCCCTCTACTGAAAGAAATACACACATGCAAATGTTGCATTTTAATTTGATTTTAGATGTATGTTATGTTATGCTGTCTTCTATTTTGGGGGACAAAATACTTGGACCTATGGGGTTGAATACTTTACAGATTGATTGAATATGATTTGACAAAAATATATGGAGTGACTTGCCGATTCGAAGTTAAGAATACTGCATTAAAATATTTTTTTTATTATAATAGATAGATATTAACATGATTTATAATGTATAGGAATCTTATTGTATTTTTTAAAATCATTGTGATTTTGAGGAACATTAATTCGTAATTTTAGCTCATGGTGCTTGGTAATTGCAAGTAGATCAGTTTCATTTTGACCAGGTGAATACTTCTGATGAAATTGTAAATGTTTATAATAATTCATATTAAGTATTAATGAAACTATATAAATATCAAAGTCATGTACGCATCTGATAATCTCCACAGTTTTCATATAGACAATCTGTAAAAGGCGACTATGCTTGTCGTAAGAGGCGACTAACTGGATCGGGTGGTCAGGCTCACTGACTTGGTTGATGCATGTCATTGATCCCAAATGCATGGATCGATGCTCATGATGTCAATCACTGGATTGTCTGGTCCGGACTCGATTATTTACAGACCACCGTCATATAGCTGGATATTGCTGAGTGCGGCGTTAAAAACCAACGAACAAAGAAACTAACACACAAACATAAAGACAATCCTGGAAAAAGGTACTGAACATATTCACTAGTGGTCTGCAACATGTTAGCTGGTAAGGTTATCTGTTCTTGGCTGTCACCCTATGAAAACATACATATACGTCGTTTTCCTATCTTGTCAATGGTTAAATAAGTAACTTGTTAGAAAAGTGGGGCCGAAAAGTGTTTTACTGATGTCCTAAGTATGTAAACAATTCCCGAAAGGAGCTTCAGGAATATTATTCTCTGTAGGTCAAACAGAAGGTCGTCTTGTGACCCGGAAGTAGTCGTATGACCTCTAAAACACGAAACATGCCGAGTAGTTGTACTATGCAAGCTTTTGCCTGAAAACCAAAGCTCTTCTCATCACTGGGCAACTGTCAAGATGGGACGTGCAGTTTCGAAGATGTCGAGGCCGTTGAAGAATTTCAACGTCGAGAACAGGGCTCACAGGGCGATAGACAAACAGGGAGATCAACCCAAAGTGGCACCTCGATATCCTTCATCTGCTCCATTATTGGACAAGTTTGCAGATGGTTTGTCCCTTTCTTTATACATCTTGTTTTGTTGATACGAAATGGTCGTACATGTGACGAGGTCAGTACTTTTAATTATATCGCCTCTTGGAACCCCAGAAAGTATCTTGAAATTTGAAGTGGTAATTCAGCAATTATATGAACGACAGAATAGAAAAGAGTAGTAGAAAAAGGTAAATCCGAACCTGCCGAAGATTAACAAGTGCTAAGGAAAATATTTGTGAATGTTGTTGCATATCATCATTCGGTAATGCTGTAATACCATCTCATCTCATACCAGTGTGTTTATTATCACCAAGTATATGTAGGGGTGCCTGTCTTTTCCACTCAAGGACTGAGATTCGTATTGTCACATGTCATGTACGTTTTCATTTATCAAGAACAGTTCGTAGTTGCATCGCTGCAAAATCGTACATATGGACATTGTACTACTCTGTTTTAAAGGGGCACTGATCTAACGCAATTCCCCGGGACTGGTTGTTGCCTTTGTTTTTGTTTTTTCCCAGTGAGTACCCGGATGTATAGCAGAAATCTAGACTAGTTCGCGACCTCTGCTGTGCCTTTCGTAAGCGCATTAGTCACTTTTATGGATACCGGTAGTAATAAGGGCGTATGGTCACATTGATCAACAAAATGAAATACAGTTTTCAAGATAATAAGGAAATGTAGGTATCTTTGTGGGTAGCATCGGTAATGGTGACGAAGTTTGGATAAGTCACTTGCTTGGTAATTTTGCGATTTTCGTTTACACTATTTTGACTTGCAACACAAAGTAAATATTTCACCTGAGGATTGCTTTTTTTATAGTGTGTATATTTTGTTACTGTCAAAATGTGTAACATATTTATTAAACGTCTAAATATTTTACAAAGTGACTGAAAAACATTTCCATCTGTATTATTATGATAACGAATTCCAAACATCTTAATGCTTAATGTCATCACCAAGAGACTGAAAATGTTACGTTGAAAAGTACATTTCTATGTTGTTTGGCTTCTCATCCTACATAATAATCTGTTGTGATGTTTGTAGGCCCTTTTGATCGTCTTAATCAATCTGGACAGATTTTTTAGTCAAAATGACTGAAATATTTACACATTTATAAATTGCCTGAGAGAATCACATTTTACAAATTGATGGTAATATATACACGCTTACAGAGGAAAAGACCTGTAAAAACAACGTCTATCGCGCATTGAAGAATTTCCCAACCAAGACGTAGAGAAACAAGAACGAATCGGTTCAAATGAAGGAAAACAAAATGCAAATACCATAATTACAACCTACCAAATTTATGTGTATAAATTTTAGGCAGCTTCCTTGTTCGAGGAATGTATCCGTGAATATCCACACAAAGGAACAATATCCCACTCGTCTGCAGCTGTACAAAGAAACTTATTCGATGTCACGTGTCTCTGTAACAATCAAATATTTTAAAAGATATATATCGTTTCGGGATATTATAACCCGTGTTCGTTTCTCAACTGATCACTTGGATTGTTTCAGGTGTTTCACATAGGTGTCAAGTCTCAAAGGTCGGCTGAGAAAGCCCACGTGACAACTATTTTCATAACGTCCACGGTTCCTAAAAAATCCATTGAGTGATAGATAACAATGATCAATCAATCAAAGTATTATCAGTTAACCCTTTGAACAAAGTATGTTGTTTTTACATTGGCACTCCACGCCATGATATGAGTGTATTCGCTTTGTTTTAGTAAACCTAGACATGTAAACACTCACTTTTGACATATCCACTGTGCAAGATAACAGTGATTAATCAATCAACGTATTTTCTGTTAATCCTTTGATGACTAGGAACGATCCGTTGTTTTACAAAAAAAAATAAATCAACTGATCATTCATCTATTGCTGGGCTGCCACGTGCATATTACATAACACACATTTCACCTCACCTCAAACGTGGATTTAGATTGAATAATTACCCCAGACACAATAAATGCCAAATGGGAACCTTTGTCAGGTAATCTAAGTGGTGCTACCACTAATTGTACCTGTAATAAATTCATTAACTGAGCATCAAGTGAATGACGACAAATACACAAGTGTAGAGTTAGACGAGAAAACGTGGATGACAACAAGGGAGTAGTAATCGTATTATCAACGCAATCCGAAATCCGAAAATGCTTTCACTGCATGGATACTTTTTTCAACTATAACCATCTGGGGTATTTCCAAATAACGACATCCGATGAGCTCCGCCGTTCTTTTTGTCTGTTTGTTTAGGCTGAAGAAATTAATTAACATGCGCCCTTTGTCGAAATCTGTATAGATCACAGTTAACCAATCAGTGTTTATGCAAAAATGCGTAAAACAAATATTGCCTCCAGCCTCCAAGTTTATTTAGCTTTCCTTGCAGACGGTAGCCCAGTCTCTGGTCACGCTCAGTTGCGTTGCGTTTCATCCGGGTACTCACGGGGGAAAAAACAATAACAAAGGCAACAACCAGTCCGGGGAATTGCGTTAGATCAGTGCCCCTTTAACTAACCAACACCAGTGAATAACAGTAACATTCTAATTTCCAAATAGGCAGATGCTGATTTTGCACTTGTGTTCAAATGCTTTGGCAGAGTGCACGTTGAAGAACGTTCATCTAGAGACATGTACCAATGATGTTTCAGACCATCCGGAATACCTGACAGCTCAGAAAACCAAGCATGGCAAGCTGGTTGACAACATGAGGAAGCTGCAGTTAGACTCCCATGGACCTCCCCCAGAGGTAGGCAGGCACCCATCAGGATTATTTCTCATATCGCAGCACCCATAAGCATTAACTGGTTTATCTATGTTGATCTTATATATACATATTTATGCTCGATGCTTACACTTTCAGTGACTGGTTTGCACTCTGCCATGAAATCCACTTACCGTATTCGACGTAATAAGCGCCCACAGCGATATTTGCTAATATATTGGCTAGTGAACAATCCCAATTAGCACCCTTCCGACTGATCGATGTACACAATTCGGGTACATTTATTCGTGCATAATATGCACTCGTCTGTTATATGCACCCTTAATTACGGGCAAATAAATTCTGGAAAAATATATCTGTCGTGTATAATACACACAGATTTTTCTTTTGTATTATTTCAGGCTGTCAGCAGAAACCATAAAATTAACGATCTTTCGACTCTTTCACCAAAATTATATTCTAATAAGAGCCCCCTATTTCTAATTTTGAGAGCGCCCTGGGCGCTTATTACGTTGAATATGGTAAGCGTTTCAAAATGACATCTCTACTTCCTTGTAGAATGAATGAAAAGTAAATATTGCTTTGCACCGCATCAGCAAAATTACAGCTTTTGATGATGAGCTTCCTTATACATGTTGTAGAGATGATGGTTAAGGTGATTGCTCATTGTGCAAAAGATCCAGAGAACTAGAGCTTTCTCGTTTCTTTTGTTTTATAAAGTATTATTTGTTTCCACATGAATAAGTCCTCACAACATTGTACAACTGCATCAGCTTCCACAAGACTTTCTACAATGCTTGGCTCTCTACCCTACTAAGCTGAGATGCTGGGTGTTACCAAAGTTATATAACCAGGGTATTTTAGAAAAAGGGTTTTTGGTATTTACTTAAAATGTAGTTTACTAAACTAAGCTTTTGGGTAACATATAGACGCATGTGAGAGAAGTGATTGAGCAGTGTGAGGCATCACCCCGGGGGCAAGTGATTATGGGTTTTGCTTCTCTTAAGTGATAGAGTATAAACTTTTCATTAGTACAATGAATTAGTAGAATTGGTCTTGAAATGGGAATGTCAGAAGGGAGATAGATAGATGGAACAAAATGGTTAGACTTGTGGTGATCAAACATTTCTGAGTACTACTGCCTGATTGGAATGTCTAAATAACATGAATAAGTATCTTTTTCGGTGTCTTCCAATCTGGCAGAAGTAGCTGAGGGAATTTGATAAGATGAGTATGTCCAAGTTGACCAATGACTTAAAGAGGTAATCAAATTGGTTAGTTCGAAAAGCTTGATTGTAAAACTATTTACTATGGAAATTGGGGAATGACCATTATGACTCATTTCTCATGATGTCAAATGTGATTTTGGAGGGAGGAGCTAAAATTATCATCGATAGTATTTTGTGAGTCGTCCGAGAGTGGTGCGGGGAGTCGGGAGCATACAGCTGAACAGAACGGTTCACTGTGGTTTTGGGATCCCGAGTCAGAAAAGAAGTAGAGTTAACGTTCATCAGAAAAACCATCAGGCTCTTCAACCATCATCTAGGTATGTGTTGTATTTATATCAGGCAACAACAAGAATATATCTGAGGACCATGTGTGTGTATTTATGATTAACTCTATCATAAATAAAAAGGACTGGAGCAAACCATCGGACTTGTGATTTTGAGAGAGCTACATCATCCCTAGAACTAAGGAGTAGTTGATAAGTAGAAGTGACCATAGGTAGAAGGGTAACGTACCCGGAACCTAAGGTTACATTATTGTTCAAAGCAGCAGGAACCTCAGAGGTAGTGCAATGCAGACCTCTTTTTCAAGAAATGCTAATGTCATGCTGAAGACCCTGGTTTGATTCCCCTCAAGGGTAGTGTGTGTAATGTGTGTAGCCCATTCTTGTGTCCCAACCCTGACATGACTTGAATATTGCTAAGGCTAAGAACCCAATCTCATTAAAATCAGATCTTAGTTCTCGTTGTCGCTAAACAAAGATCTGAGGACATCCCATTAAGGGTCACGTCAGAACGACCTTTCATCCAACCAATCAGAGCGTCGCTTACCAGATCATGAAAGTGACAGTCGAAATGTGTTTTCTAATCATGCAACCACGAAATATTTAACATGGAGTATTCCAAACGACAGTTACGGGTTTTATGATTATATCCATACAATCTAAGCCATCTATAAGCCATTCCAGAATATTCTTCTTATCAGTTTTAATTTTTTTAATCGAGAATACGTCAAAATGTGTTTCGAAGCATAGTCACCTGTTTGAAACTAGTGTCATAAAGCTCGAGAAAGCTGCCTTCTGATTGGCTAATGTAGATTTCTTGTCGGTCATTTCATTGGTCGGTCAAAATTCGTGAAAGGTCGTTCTGACGTGACCTGTAATGGGATGTCCTCAGATCTTTGTTTAGCAGTAGCGAAAGCTAAGATCTGATTTTAATGAGATTGGCTAAGAACCATATCCACTTCCCAAAGAGCAGGACACCTGAAACATTCTGTTTGAAATATGTGAAACTCAAATCAACAATGTAGTGCCTTCTGCAAAATGAATAAATTGGTTGTATATGTCCTAGGGCTGTTACAATTCACTCGCATATTCGGTGAATCGAACCGTATCCATCCATGAATTGAATTCATTATTCGTGGTCACTAGAATCGAAATTTTTTGAATATGCAAGCATGTGCATGTACATACCCTGTACCTAAAAATATCCATAAGAACATATTATATGCATAGATTTCTTCAAAGATAACACTCTTATAGTATTTAATTTGACAGTATTGTGGTCACTGGTCATTGTAGCATTTGAGCAGAAACTAGTACCTGGATAAGCGCAGTATATAAATGTATAACATATCAATAATTAATAAACCACTGTGAATAATTTATGTTGTTAATGTTTCACTGAATTTAACAAATAATACATCAACTGCTGACTTGTTATTGTATTCGTGAATTAATATTCGTATTCTATATTCGTGATACGAATTGTATTCGCCTCATAGTGTATTCGTTGCAGCCCTAATATGTTCTGACCATTACAGAAACCCCAATTATGTTTCAAGGTTTGTCAGCACCATACCCATGCTCATGGGCTTTACCGATCTGGTAAACGTCTCATACCTGCATCACTACGGGCTTTCCCCCCATCAAGCTTATTTAATGTTTGTAATTTGTTTGTTTAGATCAAATCAAAGCCAAGGCCCAAGCCAGAAAGCAGAGATAAGTTGGAAGACCCAGAATTTGGTTTTCTTGAGCCCGAGAGAATCCCAGCCGGAAGGACGTCAATACGCCAGGCAATGCAGTTCATCACTCAGCATCAGTCGGCGCCGCAGGACTACAAGTCCTCTCAGATTGCACATGAATACAAGCTGGACGAAGTACATGTACAACAAATACTCAAATACTTTCAGACGTTCCATATGCATCTGCCTAAAGCTTTGCTGGACAAGCATCCGAAACTGATGGACAGTTTAGGTAGGAGGGAGCCTGTTCAGATTAAAGGCGGTGACAGTACAATGTTGAAAGCTTCCTCTGAGACGGATGGCACCAAAGTATGATAGTGGTTGTGTGTAGGGATAGTGTGTGAAACTGAAGAGGATGTTGCCTCGGATACGGTGAAAATAAGTTGAACTCAACATGACAAGGCATGATTTTGTCACCTTTGAGGTATGCTAGTTTTCTATCTAGGAACTAAATTCTTTTCGTTTCTCTGATGTGTGAATAATAAAATTAATATGAGAAAGCTGATGGGTTTACTAATTTGTAGAGTGCAGTGAACGTTGACACAGAAATCACTTTCTTAAACACCTGTGGGTGAGAAACCCATTTGAGATAACTGGTATCAAACATATGTGTGAGATAGAATTCCAGGCCCGTGATTGGCTACTCCATGGTGATGATGGACTTCTTTCCTTAGTGAAAGTCATTCATAAGTTGCTCTCGCTTCAGTTGAATGTTCACCTATGTCCGTATTGAACAACAGGACCGTGTAATTAATAATTAAAATAAACAAACTCGTCCTCGTCTGCGAGTTTGATTGTTATTATTATCAGTTACATTATCTGTTGTTATGTCAGCATTATGGTATTTCAGAGTGTAAACCCCCTGGATGCCACAGCGACACATATGTCCCTCCTCGTCAACCCTCACTTCGAAGTTGAATAAAATTCAAAGTACATCACGCTGACTAATAGACTTCACAGTTTTGAAGTCCCCCTTCTGTTTATCATTTACTGTCATTTTAGGCAAATCAACATTACTGAAAGTGACTTCTGAAAATTAGGTACATTGTAAATTTCGCCAAATCACAATTCTTCGCGTTATTTACTGTGTGTTTAGAAATCTAAATATCGGATATTCACTCAAATTATTAAAGTAGAAAAATAGCATATTAGTGATCACGGGTATTAAATCCCTCATGACAATTCTGAAACGTCGCTCATAAGCCTAGAATCGTTAAGAATGTTTTGGAAAATAAGCATAGACGAACGCCGAAGTGTACGTTCCGCCATATTGGATTGTGTTTATAAACTGCCGGTTATGAGACGCCTATTCTATCATGAATATTTCAAACTCTGCTGCTATACATGCTTCCCTGAATTACTCATACATTTTAGAAACAGTGTCACCAATGCAAATTATCTAGATGAAATCATGCGAAATAAATTAGGTATGGAAACGAAAACAGTGCTCAGAAAACTGTAGATCTACTTGCTGAAATGTAAACAAAGCAAAATTCAGATTTTACACTGTGTAGCATTTTTAGAGGTACTTTCGTCCTATTGTTGCATACATTGGCTCGATCACGGTAGTTATCTGCATTTCTGACTAATTCTCTTTGTTACATTGGAAAACATGGTAAACAAATAACAGTACGCACATTGTCAGAATGTTTCGGATTTCTTATCATGCTTATGTGACACATTTATGTATATACGATCCCTAAATCAACGAAAATCCTCCTCTGGAAATCCTGCATACTGTTGTCAGTGAACATGCCATTTTGTAAAAGTCGGTCACCGGTAGTGATGTCATACGGAAGTAAACATTGTTGTGCATATTTGGTAATTTCCTTGAGGTGTAAACTGTTAACTCGGCGTCCAGCGTGTTCTTTGTTTTTGTCAAGTTTGCATTATCATCATCGCCTTGATAATCCACAGATATGGCGGAAACCTCTTTTGTGTAGGGTCACATTATTCATGAGTAGTAAGCAGTACATAGGATGACGTCACTTATGACAGTGGTGTTATGTATAAATGAGCTACTGCAATCATGAGAATAGACAAAATGTATCGGTTCGATGATAAAAAGATGCGTTTTTAGGGTGTGTAAGAAACAGATTACTGTACTCGTGCCTGTCAGATACCATTGATCTTACAACTCGTTGTTACAAAGCTTTCGCTTGTTACATACTTTTTGAAACAACTCGTAAGATCAATGGTATCTGACAGACACTCGTGTAGTAATCTCTGTGTTCTGATCAGTGAACCAGTAGCTGTTCTCACCATCCTCTGTAGTTTTGGCCATACACCATGCAGTGGACTGGGGACCTTTGCGTTCATTGAAAACAAGTGTAGAAGCCTTTCATTTCTGTTCATCTAATTTAATACTGTTAAATTGGCTAATAAATGGATTAGAGTAGTGTCAGAAATTAGAATAAAACGGTTTTGAGCAGCTTTTAATATGACAAGCATTAAACAAATCAAAATTCAAACAAGGTCATACCATATAATGAACAAGTTGAACTTTAATACTGGTGTCATCAGTGTGGATGCTTCTCAATTCTTCATACAAGGCTAGTCTAAGATTTTCAATCATACAAGGGGACACAGTTGCATCCCTTGGGCACGCCTGAACGCCATGATATGTTGTTTCGAATCCCAGATCACCCCGATTGTTTCTAGGTTCGGCAGCATCATACCCGTGGGTTTCACCGAAGTGGTAGACATCCGAGACCTGCATCACTTTGGGCTTTCCCCCTGACACTGGGCTATAACTGTTTGTTTGTTTGTTTGTTGTTTAACACCGCACTCAGCAATATTCCAGCTATATGACGGCGGTCTGTAAATAATCGAGTCTGGACCAGACAATCCAGTGATTGATATCATGAGCATCGACCCACGCAGTTGGGATAGATGACATGCATCAACCAAGTCAGCGAGCCTGACCACCCGATCGCGTTAGTCGCCTTTTACGACAAGCAACTCAGTCATAAAGTCAGTCATAAAATGTACCAGATTTGACAGACTGATGACAAACATATCACTGCAAAAGGAAATACTTCCGCAGAATGTTCCACAACAATCATTATCATGGTCAACATCACTTTCATAAATAAGAACAGAAGAAGGACATATTTCTCATATATTTATTTTCACCTGTTGTGACATAGTTGCCTACAGATGCTCTATACCTTCTGCTCTGCCATATAGTAATGGTTATCACACATACACAGTGACAAGTGACACCACCTTTGCAGAATGCCGGAGCATCATACAAGGGAGGTAACTCCATGCTACCAATGAGGACGATGGACTAAGGGTGATATAACTCTATAATGTTATGTAGGACAGTTGTCTGACCCGAGTCCTCTGGTGGCTTGTAGACTGAATCAGAGCATTCTGGAGATGTACAGTTAAAGCGGCGGTGGCTAACACCGTGGCTGATTCTTACACCATATCAAGCTGGAGCTTGAGAAGCTACTAGGACATTAAGTACTAATACACCTTGGGCCGTACATAAATGGGCCGTGCTGGGCCAATTGTAGGAATATTTCCTGAACTTCGGACTGGTAATACTGCGTTAGCATCATGATGTTTGCAATCAATGATTGACCTTGAAGGTCTGAACACTTTGGAGCTGTGCTAATGGACCCAAGGCATGTCTTATTAAATATACAAAGAACAGAACTAGGACATCAAGTACAAATGTACTAATGAAGACTGATTTCCTTGAAAAATTTACAAAACACAAATTCCCAATATAACAATGTCAAAACATTTCTATGTAGGTTAAAGACTATTAAGAATAATTTATTGGTATGTGTGACTTGAGGCTAGTCTTCCTACTAGAAGACAGAATAAGCTTATATAATGTCGGATAGAAAGGTTGTCTACATATGTTCAATGACATTTACAATGGACATATACTACATCCTTGGTCAAGCGATGAAGTAGTAATATTTCCGCATTCAGCTCACTAACTTCTACCATAAATAGAAGTCCAATAGTGGATGTGTCCATCTAACCGTTCAACCTGTGGCCATGATATGCTTACCACATGTTCCTCCCAAGTGGACACGAAGTGTGTGCCCGGTACCGGACATAGCTCATTGCAGCAAGGACAAAGAAAGGGATGACCGGTCAGTGAATCTACAGAATTCAGCAATCTCATTACAATCAGATCTTAGTGCTCACACTGCTACAACAGTGGTGGTGAGCACCAAGATCCGATTTTAATGAGATTGCTGAATTCTGCCGATCTGAAAACAAACGGTCATTTCTGTGATAGATCAGATTATCAACTTCTGCAATGGTCCTAAAGATCACTGTTCAGACACAACATATCAGTCAGGTCATCCCTGAGACTGGTAGTGAAATGAAACAAGTTACAATAAGCAAGCTAATGCCCTACAATAATGCCTAGTCGAATCTCTGCCACACACTGATACGCCAAGACAACCCAGGATCCCACAATCTGGTGTATACTAACAATAACAACAAAGTGCCTCCAGGAACCACACTTGTGATATAAAACTATGATATGATCTTCTATTTAACTAGTACAAGGATTACCCTAATTCATGATCGTTAAATAGGAGCTGATATTAGTATAATTGACTACTGTAGATAATTTATGACATATATAAAGTGTAGCAGACACACACAACACTATGCTTGTGTGGCACTATATACAGTATACAACAGTCAACAGTGCCTCCAGTGCATACAGGGCTTTACTATTAAATCTTTTATGCAGAAACATTACTTAGGTTTAACATGAACTTATCCATATATATATATATATATCCACATTGTAAAACATACAGATTGACCAAACCTTCAGCTAATCATCAATATTCACGAAATATACATTGTTTCTGATAAAATGTCTTCATTATGAGCATAAATATTGAAAAAGAATTCAGTTTTAGCAAAACTACACAAGACAATACCTAGGTACATATACTGCTCAAAATGTGCAAAGGATCACACCTTTGACTAAAGATGACTACTTTGATCCCTAGCAAATGCTGAGTAGTATGTGTCCGTACTGCAACCACTACATGGGAGCTGGTGCTGTGTGTGCCGTCACTACGGTGTTGTATAAATTACACTTCCTTCAGTTACTCTGTGCATGAATAACAACTGACATTCTGATGACAGAAACAAGCATACATTAACAGCAGGCAAAACGTCGTCCCTTCTAACAATCACAGAGGAAACAGTGTAATAACAACAAAAACAACATAATGATTCTGCGAGGAGAACAAGCGCCCTGATTGGTTGGCCGTGTAAGTAGATGGTAGCATTTCACGATACTCTGGCTAACTAGTCATGTAAATGAGGGTAGTTGTTCCAGACACTTGGGAAATACAGTAATCATTATTCGTTAACACTATTCTCCTTAAAACTTTTACGGATAGGTATTTGATAACATTGAACAATAATAGTCGTATCAATTAATTCAAGTATATGATAAAGCAGGTACATTATGGTTAATATCTCTGATAATTTAAATCTTTGAGAATATCATACGATTCCCTCACAACCCTTATTAGCATGGATAGTTTCATAGGACTATGTATTAACATTTCCGTGATAATCATCTGGCCTAAGACAGGGTCCTCTCATCATTTCATTGGTTTACTATCATACAATAATCTCAAAATGACATATTTACATAACTCTGGAGTGAGTTGACTCTACATGGCCACGTCACTGCTCTAACTCAGGCAGATCTGCAGTTCTTAAGACTAAAATAAAATTAACAAAATCATGCAATCTTTTTCATAATTCATCTCTTAAAATATATTTTACAAAAAAGCAAAAGCTGTGTAACTGAACTATTGCGTAAAACCACCGTGATACAGAAACGTCATCGGAAGGGGGTGAAACTTGCATACTAGTGATACAGGAACTCCTCACATCAACAGAGGCAATGACCAGTGTATGGAGCCTGCATATTACCAGTCATACAGGAACTCCTCACATCAACAGAGGCAATGACCAGTGTATGGAGCCTGCATATTACCAGTCATACAGGAACTTCACACATCATAAGAGGCAATGACCAGCGTATGGAGCCTGCATACTACCCATGACAAGAACCACGCATTCAGTAGTTCCAAGCACTAGCGAATGTTTTCTGCAGGCCTGATGAAGTCCTTTGACTTCAAACCAAGCATGTTTGTTGATAATGAAGAACATTTGCAAGGTGATTCAATCAATCAATTCGTGTGGCCTCCACAACTCAAGGCTGACACTGGTGATATTTGTTCATTCATGTGATAATACATGAATTTGAAATGAACAATTGAATAGTGTAGCCTATGTATATTTGTGTATATCCCCCGCAGATTGTGCTGATTGACACATTTTGTTACAGAGTTGGTACAGAGTTGGTACATGTGTCGACACATGCAACTTACAAACCACTGCTTGGCTACTGAACGCAGGGTTGGGGCCAGATGTGGAAATTTCGCAGTTGACACAGAACAATACATCTCACACATCTCAAGACAATCTAAATTCCTCTACGATCCCTCCAAGGGTGTCTTGCTTGAAGGGCCGCTTCTCATCTGCAGCTTGCTTTCAAGCAGGAACAAGGGAGGCAACTCCTATGCATGACTACACAAAAAGAGCTAGTCCATCACTTATACACATATAAGTACCAACAGCTGTGTTTGGGCAGCCCCTATACATGTAGACATATATATTAATATATATACACAAAAATTCATATAATTGCCATCTTTGATTTTATGATAAATTTTGATATATTGTGCATGTAAGATGACTTTCGGACTCAATTTTATGTATTAAACATATGAGAGGAGATTTGTGTGATGTTGGGTAACTCAACCGTGCGACAAAGTGTGATATTTGGCATTGATATTGTGGAAACTTTTCAGAAAGTTTCAAATTATTTTATTACAGCAAAAAAGATTTTTTAAATTTCAATGCAGAAGGTAATTCAATATCTCAATGTAAAAACCTTCAGAATCCCTGAACCAATACACTTGTCACTACTTTCTGCATAACACAATGACCAACATTTACACTTACAGAAGTTGTCTACATTTTGTTGTGCTGCTTTGGCTAGTGAATGTACCATGCATAAAAAATAGGGGTGTCATGATTGTATATTTGTCAGAATACAAATCTTTTCTTCTTGTATATTGATATTCGATATTTGAGACGAATCAAAAGTACCAAAGTGAAAAGCAACACGAGAAGTTTGATGGCGAAACATCAGCCAATCACACAAAAACGACCTTTACGTCAAGGTTTAAAATAGCTTTTAATCAACTATTAATGGTTAAGTAAAGTCTGACATTCCAAATTTGGTGCAAGTTCTTCACAGCATTATGTAGTAAGTTGATGCTGTATAATGGCTATGTATCAGAAGCTATACGTTGTGAATGTTACTCTACATATGCACGTGTGTCATGACACCCCTAATAAAAGACGTGTAGAGTGTGCTACACCCACAGATGACATTGCACAGTTGACGATGTCTCCAATGTTGACTAGTTACCCGCCTACCTATACAATATGTCCTGATAACTGTACACTATCTCGGGCAAAGAGGGGTGGGGCCAGGACTCGGAGCATCTAGTGTACACTTCTAGGCTGTCACACTACACCAGATAGTCAGAGTAGGCCAAGGGTATTATCTTTGCAACATCCACCAATATGTACACAAGTTCACAGTCTATGTCATTTGTACAACAAATATGTTCATCTTCTGGTCTGTTGTCAACCTGAAAAAGAAGAAATACATAATGACACACATACTAAGTCAAACATGTAAGTGAGTGATTTGATTTGTTTGTTGTTTAACACCGCACTCAGCAATATTCCAGCTACAAGAAGGCGGTTTGTAAATAATTGAGTGATTGAGCATCGATCCACGCAATTGAGATACGATGACAGGTACCAACCAAGTCAGCGAGCCTGACCACCTGATCCCGTTAGTCGCCTCTTACGACAAGCATGGGTTGCTGAAGACCTATTCTACCCCGGATCTTCACGGGTCTATAAGTGAGAGAGTGAGTTTGGTTCAACATGGAACAATATTCCAGTCACATCCCGGCATGTCAGCTTCATGTGGGAGGAAAGCCAGTATTGATGCAGGCCTTCACAGTTTACCACTTTGGTACATCCCACGAGCATTGGTATGGTGCTGACCAATAATCAGGGCAAACCAGGATTCATACCCAAGATCAAAAGGTCTCTGGCACACTTAAAGGGACACAACTCAGGTTTAAACAATCGGACAACCATACCCCTCCCAATGCATAAAATATATGAAATGGAAATATAGTTACAACAAAAAAAATCAGTTATGAATGACAGTGCACTGGGTACACACACAGAACTTGTTCCCATTTTATTTTACTTCAGACTTAGAACCTGATCTACATAAATCACTGACAGCAAAAATGGCTTAAATGTGTAGTTTATTCTGCAGGTAAATAAGTACTGAACTGCTGAATATTACTGTGACCAATGCTTACCTTGAGACAAGCAAGCTGGGCCTCACAATGCCCCGAATGGATCATTCATATTGTTGGATTGTGGCATGGGTGGGCGTGGCTGCTGGAATCCCATTGGCTGCATCCTGGCCCCATACATCTGTGGCTGTTGCCCCATCCCCATGTTCATACCCATCATCTGGGGGGACTGCTGCTGGCCCATGCCCTGCAACAGGAAGCAAGTGATGCAGGTAATGATCAACATTTCAGACATTAAGTACCAATGATGCATATACCCAACAGTAAGCCTTAATGGTGCATATACCAGGCAGAGGGCCCTGATGATGCATATACCCAACAGTAAGCCTTAATGGTGCATATACCAGGCAGAGGGCCCTGATAAAGCATAAACTCAACAGTAAGCCTTAATGGTGCATATACCAGGCAGAGGGCCCTGATGATGAATATACACAACGGTAAGCCTTAATGGTGCATATACCAGGCAGAGGGCCCTGATGATGCATATACCCAACAGTAAGCCTTAATGGTGCATATACCAGGCAGAGGGCCCTGATAAAGCATAAACTCAACAGTAAGCCTTAATGGTGCATATACCAGGCAGAGGGCCCTGGTGAAGCATATACTCAACAGTAAACCTTAATGGTGCATATACCAGGCAGAGGGCCCTGGTGAAGCATATACTCAGCAGTAAGCCTTAATGGTGTATATACCAGGCAGAGGGCCCTGGTGAAGCATATACCCAACAGTAAGCCTTAATGGTGCATATACCAGGCAGAGGGCCCTGATGATGCATATACCCAACAGTAAGCCTCAATGGTGCATATACCAGACAGAGGGCCCTGATAAAGCATATACTCAACAGTAAACCTTAATGGTGCATATACCAGGCAGAGGGCCCTGATGAAGCATATACCCAACAGTAAGCTTTAGTGATGAATATACCAGGCAGAGGGCCCTGGTGAAGCATATACTCAACAGTAAGCCTTAATGGTGCATATACCAGGCAGAGGGCCCTGGTGAAGCATATACCCAACAGTAAGCTTTAGTGATGAATATACCAGAGGGCCCTGATGATGCATATACTCAACGGTAAGCCTTAATGGTGCATATACCAGGCAGAGGGCCCTGGTAAAGCATATACTCAACAGTAAGCCTTAATGGTGAATATACCAGGCAGAGGGACCTGGTGAAGCATATACTCAACAGTAAGCCTTACTGGTGAATAGACCAGCAAAGGGCCCTAATGATTCATATAGTTGGCAGAAAGCCTTAATGTTGCATATACTAAATGGTGCAATACATGTATGCTGCACATACTCAACAGAAAGTCTTAATGATGACTATACTTGGCAGAAGGTCCTAATGACACATATGACATGTACTAGTAATACATGTATGCTGCATATACTCAACAGAAAGTCATAATGGTGAATATACTAGGCAGGTGTTCCTTTTGATGTATATACTCAACAGATATCCTTAATGGTGCACATACCCCACTTGATCAAGCCAAACATGTATCATGGTATGTAGATAATAAAACAAGACAGAAAGTCTAGATCGTTATGGGATATAACCACTGACAATTTCATAACAACCATTTACTTCCATACCTCATCTACTGGCCTACTTCCATACCTCATCTACTGGCCTACTTCCATACCTCATCTACCGGCCTACTTCCATACCTCATCTACCGGCCTACTTCCATACCTCATCTACCGGCCTACTTCAATACCCCATCTACTGGCCTACTTCCATAGCTCGTCTACTGGCCTACTTCAATACCTCATCTACTGGCCCACTTCCATACCTCATCTACTGGCCTACTTCAATACCTCATCTACCGGCCTACTTCCATACCTCATCTACTGGCCTACTTCAATACCCCATCTACTGGCCTACTTCCATACCTCATCTACCGGCCTACTTCAATACCTCATCTACTGGCCTACTTCCATACCTCATCTACTGGCCTACTTCAATACCTCATCTACCGGCCTACTTCCATACCTCATCTACTGGCCTACTTCCATACCTCATCTACTGGCCTACTTCCATACCTCATCTACCGGCCTACTTCCATACCTCATCTACTGGCCTACTTCCATACCTCATCTACTGGCCTACTTCCATACCTCATCTACTGGCCTACTTCAATACCTCATCTACTGGCTTACTTCCATCCCTCATCTACTGGCCTACTTCCATACCTCATCTACTGGCCTACTTCAATACCTCATCTACTGGCCTACTTCCATAGCTCATCTACTGGCCTACTTCAATACCTAATCTACTGGCCCACTTCCATCCCTCATCTACTGGCCTACTTCCATACCTCATCTACCGGCCTACTTCCATACCTCATCTACTGGCCTACTTCCATACCTCATCTACTGGCCTACTTCTATACCTCATCTACTGGCCTACTTCAGTACCTCATCTACTGGCCTACTTCTATACCTCATCTACTGGCCTACTTCCATAGCTCATCTACTGGCCTACTTCCATACCTCATCTACTGGCCTACTTCCATACCTCATCTACTGGCCAGATGACATATCTATAAAAGATCAAACATACATACCATCATGGGTTGCTGTCCTTGAATCATCCCAGGCTGAGCATAGCCCATACCTCCCTGCATAGGAGGCACTCCCATCTACAACATCAACAGTGGAGTGAGTCAGTCAGTCAGTTGGGTGTAATGCCACCCTGAACAGTATGCCTCTAATATCATGGTGAGTCAGGTTAATGTGGGAAGAAAGCCTGAAGTGATGCAGGTCTCAGAAGTTAACAACTTTGGTGAACTCCACAAGCTGACATACCTAGAAACATATGTGGGGAATTGAATCTGGGTATTCCATGTGACGGGCGAACGCCTTAACCACTAGGCTACCCCACCGTCTCTTAATATGAAAGAATCACTGCACGATAAATTAACTATAGTTATATGAAAGAATCGGGTGTTCTTTAACCAGCTTTATGTGTGACGAAAGTGTGAAGTGATGCAGGTCTCTGATGTTTACCACTGAGATACTATGCCGCAGTTTAGCATGAATACCCCACTCAGACACAGTATACGGACCAGTCATTTATTTAGACCCTTAATCTTTTCACGTCTTTTGGTATGACGCGGCCAGGGATGAAACCCCCGCCCTTCCGCTCTCCGTGCAGTTGCTTTACCCCTAGACCTTAGAAGGAGGCGGTCTGTTTTTTTGGGGAAAAAAATCTTCATTTTTCAATGTGCATTATAATACATTTTTCAGTACACATTGTACATAAGAAAATATGGCAATCTAAAGATTAACTAATACTGGCCAAAGAGAAAGCTTGTGTCAAATTGTTTACAATGTAACTAGTTTTTAGAATTTCACATTTGTGACTGACCATTGGCTGCTGAAACTGCTGTCCCATTGGCTGCTGGCCCATTGGTGGCTGGTTCAGTGGCTGCTGACCTATCGCTGGCTGGTTCCATGTGGTCGATGCCATTCCGGAGGTCATCTGCCAGTTGGTACCCCCAGTCAGCTTCTGCTCTCCTTTAGGCTGCCATTGGTGCTCAGCTCTGAAACACAACAACCACAGCTTACACAGAATGGAAATCTTACCCCCAGTCGATTGTCCCTATTTCATTAAACACATATATTTCTATTTTCAATTTCAAAAACGTGAGTGAGTGACTGAGTTGGGATAAACGCCGTTTTTAACAGTATTACAGTTATATCACGGCATGTCAGCTTAATGTGGGAGGAAAGCCCGAAGTGATGCAGGTATCAGATGTTTACCACTTTGGTGAAACCCACGTGCTGACAAACCATGAAACATTAACAGGGGGAACTGGGATTCGAACCCACAACCGTAGGTTTCTGGTGCGCCCAAGGGATGCAACTCTGCACAGCGAATTGTGGTGCCTTACACAATTGGGCCACCCATGCCCCCAGACAACCCAGTGATTGATAATATGAACGATCCTGTCTTAATTGTTTGTTTGTTTTGTTTGTTTGTTCCAGCTATATGACGGCGATCAGGAAATAATCGAGTCTAGACCAGCCAATCAAGTGATTGGTATCATGAGCATCTGTCTACGCAGTTGGGATACAATGACATGCATCAACAAAGTCAGAGAGCCTGATCAACCGATCCCGTTAGTCCCCTTTACAGCAAGCATGGGTTGTTGAAGACCTATTCTACCCCGGATCTTCACAGGTTCGATCCTGCCTTAAGGGTACGATGACACTACAAGTCACCAAGCCTGACCACCTGATCCATGAAGTCACCTCATACGGCCAATTCTAATCTGGAATCTCCAAGGGGAACTTACTTCTTGACCTGTTGTGCCGGGCCCCCGATGTGGAGGTTGCCTGCGAGTGTGGAGAGGCTGCTGTCAAGGTCCCCTGCCAGGAGCTTCGTAGAGTCTGTTTTCTTTTGGTTACTGTCTACCTGGTTCGGCTTGTTGTGTGGCTGGAGTACCTCGCCAAATGCATCAAAACCTACAACCACCATGTCTTGCTTCAGCATATACTTTTCGATTTGTTGTCTTACGTAAACCATGAGATATTAGGTATTAGAGTATTAACATCGAGTGAGGCTATTAATGTGACAAATTACATTGTTATGTAAAGGACACCACAAATTCTACATTTATATGAACAAGAAAATATATACTTTTAACAAAAACATCGAATTTTGGAAATTTACTCTGTTGAAAACTCCATAATGCCTTTAAATGTCTTTAAATACTTCATTTTTTTTATATTGTTAAGAACAAGCAGCTTTCAATGAAGAAATTAACTCCAAATTTTCATGTTCATAACATTAGAATAAACATGGTACACACAACATAAGAATGTCAACACTAGTATGTATATGTGTCAGTTTAAGACATGATTTCTCCATCCATGACACAGGATAAATAAAACTAAAAGAAATCTGAAAAGAAATGACATGCTCGAAGTCTAACAGAAAACACTGACACGGTCCAACCCATCAATGATACACATGAAACACTACGTTGATTTCACTGAGTTGTTTAAACATACAGACACTCACACAATTTCCATACAAAACACTGACTATAATATCGACACTCAAACTGTAAACTGTGTAGCAAAACACTGCATAATCAAAATGATAAGTTAATCACAATTAACTGTGCAATAGAAAAATTGATACTCTTGAGCTGTTTTCCATCTTGTAAGGGAATATAACCATAATAATTTCTTCCTGGTGTAAATAAATGGCGCGATATGCCACAGCCAACTGTATTTCTTGTTCGTTTAATGCTTCACGTTGCACTATTACAGCCGTATTGCAGCCATTTGATGTATATATACTGAACAAAAACAGTTATGGATCACAAATACTTTTTGGGAATAATTTTTTGTAGAGAAGACTGAGTACATAACTTCAACAAAAATATTCCCCAAAATATACACAATCCATATTTTTTTGTACAGAAATATATTGTGTGCACATAATTTCACACATTTGGGGTAACGGGAGCGTCCAATGCACCTTATCCAGTAACAAAACACCACCTTTTACAACAATCATTGATTGAAAGAGACGTGCCAGTTTCCATCGTCAGAAACATAATTGCACCTGAATCAGAAAACCAGCCTAGGACAATGTGAGCAACACTCCATAAAACTGAGGTACAATAAACCAGGCTCAGCCCGGTCAACAAGGACACTAGAGTAGTTGCTGGTGAGGAGTACTAGTCATGTCTATTCTACGCTGCCATTGTGACTGCCTCACCCTAAACTTAGGTAACTTTGGCCACTGGGTATATATTCTGACCCAAACACCCATTGGTGTAAACATAAATCCCTGAATACCCACAGGTGTAAACACAAGGCCCTGAATACCCTCAGGTGTAAACACAAGGCCTTGAATACCCACAGGTGTAAACACAAGGCCTTGAATACCAACAGGTGTAAACACAAGGCCATGAATACCAACAGGTGTCAACACAAGGCCTTGAATACCCACAGGTGTAAACACAAGGCACTGAATACCCACAGCTGTAAACACAAGGCACTGAGTACCCACAGGTGTAAACACAAGTCCCTGAATACCCACAGGTTTAAACACAAGGCTCTGAATACCCACAGGTGTAAACACAAGGTTGGTTGGTTGGTTTGTTGTTTAATGCCGCACTCAGCAATATTCCAGCTATATGACGGCAGTCTGTAAATAATCGAGTCTGGACCAGACAATTCAGTGATTAATATAAGGCCCTGAATACCCACAGGTGTAAACGCAAGGCCCTAAATACCCATAGATGTCAACACAAGGCCCTGAATACCCACAGGTGTAAACACAAGGCCCTGAATACCCACAGGTTTAAACACAAGGCACTGAATACCCACAGATGTCAACACAAGGCCCTGAATACCCACATATGTCAACACAAGGCCCTGAATAGCCACAGGTGTCAACACAAGGCACTGAATACCCACAGATGTCAACAAAAGGCCCTGAATACCCACATATGTCAACACAAGGCCCTGAATAGCCACAGGTGTCAACACAAGGCCCTGAATACCCACAGGTGTCAACAAAAGGCACTGAATACCCAAAGGGTGTAAACAAGGCACTGGATACCCAAAGGGTGTAAACATGAGGCCCTGAACACCCAGGTGTCAACACAAGGCCCCGAATACTCACAGGTGTAAAACACAAGGCATTGAATACCCACGTGTAAACATGAGGCCCTGAATACCCACAGGTGTCAACACAAGGCACTGAATAGCCGTAGGTGTAAACACAAGGCCCTGAATAGCCACAGGTGTACACACAAGGCCCTGAATACCCACAGGTGTAAACACAAGGCCCCGAATAGCCATAGCTGTAAACACAAGGCCCTGAATACCCACAGGTGTAAACACAAGGCCCTGAATACCCACAGGTGTAACACACAAGGCATTGAATACCCACGTGTAAACATGAGGCCCTGAATACCCACAGGTGTCAACACAAGGCACTGAATAGCCACAACTGTAAACACAAGGCCCTGAATACCCACTGGTGTAAACACAAGGCCCTGATTACCAACAGCTCTAAACACAAGGCACTGAATAGCCACAGGTGTAAACACAAAGCACAGGTGTAAACATGAGGCCCTGAACACCCACAGCTGTAAACACAAGGCCCTGAATACCCACAGGTGTATACACAAGGCCCTGAATTACCACAGCTCTAAACACAAGGCCCTGAATACCCACAGGTGTAAACAAAAGGCCCTGAATACCCACAGGTGTAAACACAAGGCCATGAATACCCACAGGTGTAAACACAAGGCCATGAATACCCACAGGTGTAACACACAAGGCATTGAATACCCACGTGTAAACACAAGGCCCTGAATACCCACAGGTATACACAACGCCTTGAATACCCACAGGTGTAAACACAAGGCCCTGAATACAAACAGGTGTAAACACTAGGCCATAAATACCCACAGGTGTAAACACAAGGCCACGAATACCCACAGCTCTAAACAAAAGGCCTTGAATACCCACAGGTGTAAACACAAGGCCATGAATACCCACAGGTGTCAACACAAGGCCCTGAATACCCACAGGTGTCAACACAAGGCCCTGAATAGCCACAGCTGTAAACACAAGGCCCTGAATACCCACAGGTGTCAACACAAGGCCCTGAATAGCCACAGCTATAAACACAAGGCCCTGAATACCCACAGGTGTAAACAGAAGGCACTGAATACCCACAGCTGTAAACACAAGGCCATGAATACCCAGCGGTGTAAACAGAAGTCCCTGAATGCCAACAGCTGTAAACACAAGGGACTGAATACCCACAAGTGTAAACACAAGGCACTGAATACCCACATCTGTAAACAGAAGGCACTGAGACTAGCTAGTGAATAACCAGAGGTGTAAACAGAAGGCCCTGAATGCCAACAGCTGTAAACACAAGGGACTGAATACACACAGGTGTAAACACAAGGCACTGAATACCCACATCTGTAAACAGAAGGCACTGAATAACCACAGGTGTAAACAGAAGGCCCTGAATGCCAACAGCTGTAAACACAAGGGACTGGATACCCACAGGTGTAACCACAAGGCACTGAATACCCACAGGTGTAAACAGAAGGCACTGAATACCCACAGGTGTAAACACAAGGCCCTGAATAGCAACAGGTGTAAACGCAAGGCCCTAAATACCCACAGGTGTAAACACAAGGCCCTGAATACCCACAGGTGTAAACGCAAGGCCCTGAATATCCACAGGTGTAAACAGAAGGCACTGAATACCCACAGGTGTAAACAGAAGACACTGAATACCCACAGGTGTAAACAGAAGGCCCTGAATAACCACAGGTGTAAACACAAGGCCCTGAATATCCACAGGTGTAAACGCAAGGCCCTGAATACCCACAGGTGTAAACAGAAGGCCCTGAATATCCACAGGTGTAAACGCAAGGCCCTGAATATCCACAGGTGTAAACAGAAGGCCCTGAATATCCACAGGTGTAAACAGAAGGCACTGAATACCCACAGGTGTAAACAGAAGGCACTGGACCATCCTGAATACCCACTGAGTGTAAACATGTGTCTTAACTTCTCGTTCCACCCCACACCCACCCACCCATGAAGTACGAATTGTCACCAATTCTACACAAACTGTGCAGCTATCAACAGAATAACAAGAAGAAAACATGTGAAGAGGAAAACACAAACAATAATCAACCCAACAATATGCTTAAACATACGATGTACTCATCAAAATAATTATTCAGAACTGAAATTCTACAAGTTCATCTCAAACATTTAAACACTGACTTGAGCACTACTGGCAAACAAGGTTACTGGGTGTACAATCTGCCTATTCTTTGCATATCATGCAACTTGCAGTCCAACTCTTGCCATTGAGTGAGTGCGCAATAGCCATAATACATTTTAGCAATATTACAGCAATATCACATCAGGGGATACAAGAAATGGGCTTCACACATTGTACACACGTGGGGAATTGAACCTGAGGCTTCGGCGTGACAAGCAAACAGTTTAACCACAAGGCTACCCCACTGTCTGTTGCCACTGAGTGTCAGTCAGCAATGTCACAGCTAACCTGTAAGATATCAAGCCTGGACCAGGCAAACCACTCAGACAGCATGAGACTCAAAGTGGGATTCCAAATAATCTCAGTCACACCATAATCCAACTATCAGTGTAGCTAATGCTCACAAGTATGGGTAACAGGAACATCCAGCCTCGAAGGCCTTTGCGAGATGTTCCTGTGCAACTTAAACAATCAGGTTGAATGTTTGAGATGAGACAGGTAGGTTCCTGGGACAGTTTCTACCAATAGGGATGGCCAACATAAATATCTACTGTCTAGTACAACATGACCAATACAGACAAGTGTACGGACAGACACATGGTGGACGGACAAGTCGTCCCCCCGTCTTACCACTGGTGTCAGAGTGTCCGGGGGCGGGGCTGGTGCGCCCCACCTGACCAGCTAAACAAACAAACATACATGTGTAAGGTAACAACATGCTCTGTGTACATACAAAGTGATATTGCTACATCATACTGAGGGTAAGTGATCTCACTATTTATTCCATGCGGGAACTGAACCAATGCTGTGCATTACCTACTCCCCCATCCTTTACAAGGAAAACACAAAATAATCATGGAGGTCACTGATAGTGATGCCTTGAACAGATAAACCTGTCAATACAGACCTAGATACAGCACAAACTGTAGGAATGTCTCATTAATTATGTGCAATCTAAATAATTCAAATCACATCTATTTGGAGCCATAAGGATCAATCAAAGAGACACATTTAGTGAACTAGCTACTGAGGGAGACTGCCACATTGAAGGAGATATTACTTCTGAGTGTTGGGTTTAATGCCTCTTTTACCTGTATCTCAGTTACATCTCGGCTTGTCAGCTTAATCTTGGAGGATCACCCAAAGTGATGCAGGTCTCAGACGTTTACCACTTTGGTGAAACCCGCAAGCGCCGGTATGGTGCTGACAAACCTAGAAACACAATCGGGGCGAACCAGGATTTGAATCCAAGAAATAACTTGAACACAAACCACACATTAACTAAATGATGGAATAAGGTTTCTGATAAACTTCACCAAAAACACTGATAAACATGCATATTATCGTAATGCCCCATGCATACTGACATATTCAGCATAAATCTCAACCTAATCCAAACTATAATCATATCTACATTCTTGTTTTGACCGAAGCCCAAAGACCTCCTGTAAAGATAAAGCCTCCAGCAACAGAGAACTTCGGATCTCCAGATCTTAGTGTTCTTAGTGTTGAGCTAATATATAAATTCAAATTAACAACACTTAAAGTAAACCAGGAAATGTTTTTGAAGAAAGAACGAGGGTCTGGACCAGCAGGTTGTACAGAATGAATGAGGAACCACAAGGACACCCCATTGCTCATAGATGCAGAGCCACCTAAGACATCCTGGCAAGTAGACCAACACATTGTATAGAAGCCGAACCCATTTCTACAAACCAATTTTGGCACTACGATTGTTCCAAGTCTGTGTTAAGACATGGCGCCTAGCTAGTCTAAGCTCTAAGATCACACTGCAACTGTTCCAGGTCTGTGTTAAGACATGGTGCCTAGCTAGTCTAAGCTCTAAGATCACACTGCAACTGTTCCAAGTCTGTGTTAAGACATGGGGCCTAGCTACGTAGTCTAAGCTCTAAGATCACACTGCAACTGTTCCAATCTGTGTTAAGACATGGGGCCTAGCTAGTCTCAGCTGTAAGATCACACTGCAACTGTTCCAAGTCTGTGTTAAGACATGGGGCCTAGCTAGTCTCAGCTGTAAGACCACACTGCAACTGTTCCAAGAGTGTGTTAACACATGGGGCCTAGCTAGTCTCAGCACTAAGATCACTTTGAACAGGACTCTGGACAAGTAGGACACATGTATCAATAACTCTATAGTACAAACTCACAGGAACAAACATAATCAACAAAAGAATTGCCCGGTTGTGTTAAAAGGCACACAATGATTCCGGCCACGCAGTACCGGGCTGGCCTGGACACTCCAGGATAACAGTCTGAGACAAGGTGATGGTGAAGTGAAACAAGAAAAGAAACAGAATGTTGTGTTTTGGAGAATGTTCCTGGTGTACCTGTTTCCAGATAGGTAGGGGTGGTGCTTCGAGGGAGGTGTGCTGCAAGCAGACAGGACAGCGGGAATCAGACACTGGCAGCCACGCACAGACAACAGGTGGCATATCATGAGAGGGGAGAAACATTCCCTCAGTGGGAAGTCTCATGATATTGTATCAAGAATTAGTGTTGATCATAGATTCCATTTAAAGACAAAGATGAATTTTCCCTGAATTGAAGATCTCAAAATTTAGCATCAAAAAGTTGTGTTAACCACTGATTCCATTACAAGAAAAAAGAATTGCATTTTCAGTGAATAGGATGTCTAATGATACAGTATCAAGAATTAGCTGTGTTTCTTGTTGAGACTCCACTAAAAGAGACAAGATGTCATTTTTCTTGAATGGAAAATCTCAATAGAGAGATTAGATTCCAATAGTGAGAAGTGAAGGTATCATTTCCCTTGAAATGGATACCTCATGATAGCTAGAACTGGTCTTGATAGAACTTCCTAAATGAGATATTTCAGGATATTGTAAAGATTACTTTTACCCTAAGTTCTGATAAAAGACGGCAAAAAAGGACTTTTTCTTTAATGGTATCTATACTACTCAAAAGAAGTTAAAGAACACCTAACTTTCTTGCATATGACTATAGTTAATCCGACATGCCATGACAGATTAACTCGTGAGTGAGTGAGTATTGTTTTAAGCCACTTTTTGCAATATTTCAGAAATGGACGTCACAAGTACCCAAACCCGGGTCTTCAGCGTGACGAGCGAACACCTTTACCACTTAACTGCCCCACTGCCCCAACAGATTAACTTTAGCCAAATGACAAAACTGAGTGTTCTTTAACTTCTTCAGAGAAGTATATATTTGCCTACAAGGTATCCCGAAATGTGTGCACGTGTCCCTTTAGATGCAAAGTGGGAAGGGCTATTCAACAACACCATACTAACCTGGGCTTGGGGAGGCGGGAGACAGGCCACAATCGCCTGTAGCAAAACCTACAAGTTAACCAGCATGTTAGCATATCTAACTACACAATGCATACATGCCAGGCCTCATTTATCTCACTGGCGACAACAGCTCACTTTTTCTTCAACTAAATCAAAGCATGGGTAAAGAGTAATTGTTGTTCAGCTGAAAATTATCGGAAATTCTAACCAGTTTCAGACATCAATAATAACATGCAATTGCGTACCAGAAAGGGATGAATTTAATGTCAGATAAAATTAATTAAATTAATGTAATCTCTTTTAATAAGGACTATCCTGACGTTTGGATATTGATTTACTTTGAAGAAAATAGCATTTTTTCCTCGACTTCAAAAGTTACAAACACATTGAGTGAATTTCGTTTGGCACTTGACCAGCAATCTTGCAGCTATTCATAGCAATTGAATGCAGTTATAACACGTCGCAGATATATAAACACACTAGACATCTAACAGGTAGAAATAACATCACAAACTTAGGAATCTAATTTGTCCAGAAACAAACCAAAGAAAACATAATATTAACTTGATTTCTCCACTAGCTAAGATACTCATGCTGTGTGTATTACAATCAATGTTCTACATTTCTATAAAGTGTCACAAAATCGTGAACAAAATTTGTGCTTTAGTATTGGACTTGATACAAATATTTCCATATGTGAATCAGCCAGGTTATTTATAAGAGCAACACACGCTGAATGAATTCCTGACATTGTTACACTTGTCATTGAGTGAGAGGGACATCAACCGACCATACAGACTGAAGACTTGTACAATTAGACTTTGTCAAACAAGACCATACATGATAGAGACAGTCAGAACACTGTTCAGACATTGGAACTTCACGACAGTGGAAATCATAGGCACACCATGTTATAATCTGGAAGAAATCAGGTAAACAGAAGGCATGTAACTGTTGAAGTTGCTACTGAACTGAGTCGTATGTAGGTCTACACAGCTAGGGGGAATCTAACTACACTTGCAGATGACCACCTCACATCGATACACACAGGTAGTATACACAACACATACTCGTTCTGATCCATAACAAACACACAGTCTGAGGAAAACATTTCTAGAAAATGACTTATTTTAAAAAAACGTCATCTTCATGAAGTTTGGCCAAAAGGTGTGGACTTTTCCAACATGTAATATTCTTGGACCAATCAACATGTTGTGAATGTCTCACTGGGCTATAAATGATTTATACACTGACTGATATACAGACATGATGTGCTACGAGACAGAGAGACATATACTGCCTGATGTACGGAGGCTGATGGTCTACCTGTGGGACTGACACCGCGTCGCACTGGCCCGGGAGACAGCGCCGGGCCACCAAGACCTACCATCTGGCTCGGATCACCCATTCCTATACCCATCCCCTGGCCAAGGTCGCCCATCCCTATTCCGCCACCCATTCCATGAGTAGGATCTCCCATCCCCATATTCATCCTTACTGGAAGAGGAGACCCTGTTGGGTTCATCCCCATCCCCATAATCGGACTAGGGCCTCTTGCAGGAGACATGCCCATCCCTATAGTCTGACTGGGACCCCCTGGGGCCTCCATGGTCATCCCCATAGAGCCAGTCTGCAGGTCTGGTGCCCCGGACATATCTAGTCCTCCCAGGCCGAAGGACGCAGGTTCCGTAGCTCCCGAGGTGTGGCGCGATGGATCCAGGGGGTCAAGGGGAGAGCCAAGGTCAGCCCCAGCTTCACGCAGCACAAACAGCAAGGTCAAAGGTAAACATCAAGCTTAACACGTGGGTCGTTCCAAGATTGTAATCATTCACTGCACTGCACAAGATGAGCTTACAAGGCACACAGTTGACACATCTGCCTCCTTGAAGCATATGTTACCAAGTGATAGACACAAGTAATGCCATTCAATTCAACAGGACTTACCAGACAACAAGAATAATGGATAAATAGTGTAAAATATGTAAAAATTTGGTGACGTCATGTAACTCCATGGTTTCTGTGTGTGTAGGCTGAAACAGTGGAGGTGAAAGGTGTGGTGTGTATGTACTATGTACCTCCAGCGAGAGACGGAGAAGGGGTTCGGGTTGTGTGTCATGTACCTCCAGGGTTCCTGTGTGTGTAGGCTGAAACAGTGGAGGTGAGAGGTGTGGTGTGTATGTACTATGTACCTCCAGAGAGAGACGGAGAAGGGGTTAGGGTTGTGTGTCATGTACCTCCAGGGTTCCTGTGTGTGTAGGCTGAAACAGTGGAGGTGAAAGGTGTGGTGTGTGTACCTCCAGAGAGAGACAGAGACACCTTCAGTGTGCCTGTGCATGTATGCTGATGACATGGTGTAGGTGCAAGGTGTAGGTGCAGGTGTACCTGGTGGTGAAGTGGTGTCCAGAGCCGGGAGTGGGTGGTTCTCCAGGCCTGCTGTTAGTACACCACATGCAATGAGACATGCATAGGTTAAACATAAAAGCGTGGGATCACAACATGTTCAAATTTGTTAATACCCTTTTTAAATTAATTTCAAACATAACAATTTATTTTATATATACAGAATTTTATACTTTAACGAAAATGTTTCCCTACTCTATACATCTCAAATGGCATAGTTGTGATCCCACTGGTAATAAATAGCACATTTAAAAGACAATGTTAGAATTGCTTGAAGCATGCGACAAGTTAGAAAGGCACGATAAGGCCAATGTGAGCCTAGGACTAGTAAACTGCAAAGGACAGTAAATCCAGGTGAATTTTAAGAATAAGATAAAAATTCAGTGCAAATAATATCAGAGAGAAATGCAAATAAAAATGAAAACTGAATCTTTTTTAATGTTTCTGTGCAGAACAATATAAAGTATTTGCATGTCTTGTTGTATGCCAAAGATCCCGTGATGTAGATTGTCATATACACTAACACAATACACCAAAATGTATGCAACACAGAGCATAGAAAACTTTATGTAACTTTTCTTCCACAAAGAAAGACACTGAAAACTGTCTTCAGATAGTGAAATTCTGTGACATCGTAAGAGGCTCTCGGTTTCCATTTCAACTATCTTTGAATCAGTGTCATTATGTGTTTGGTGTATTTCCCTGTGCTAAATGTCGATACACTAACAACTGACTATACATCACGTGAGCTAGGCTGTGTATCTGTGTGTATAACATACTGTATGTCTGGATACGATGTATTATACAATATGCAACAGACTCTTGAAATTATACAGTAAATCTGTTACTTGTTACCATGGTTACCGGCAAAACCTTGTCTGCCATTTTGTATTCCTCCAGTATTCACAAACATGGACATATCATTCATGGTCGGGTATGCAAATAGCTGGACTGACTAAACATACCAGCATGTTTTGGAAGTACTGCAAAAAAAACATGTGTAAAAGGTTCTGGATGTAATTTGTATTCAAATTCAACTTCCTGGTGTTTTTGTAAATAATACCTTTGGAAAGCTAAGGGTGAGTGAATTGGGTCTAATGCAGTCTGGAAGAGTATTTCCGTTATACTATGGTGTGTCAGCTAAATGTGGGAGGAAAGCCTGAAGTGATGCAGGTCTTAGACGTTTACCACTTTGGTGAAACCCATGAGCAAGGCAAACTAAGAAACAAACATGGCAGTGCTTGAATCTAGTAAGTAAAAGTGTAAGCAGTCCTTTGACATCCTTCAGAAACTGGTGAAGTCTCCATCTGGACAATTTGGAAATATTTTTAGTGATCAGGATTGAACCAGTGATAATTCTTTGCAAAGTTGTATCTCAATAATAACTGTCATTAGTTTTGCAACAATAAGCTGTGATAATGTTAATATACCGCTAAATGAGGCAAGTATTGATATGCTGATGATGGTGAATGACTCTCCATCCATTGCAGATGAATTTCACTATCTCTAAATTGTTTAATTAGGCTAAAATAAATAAAGGTATTGGTTCTCAGGCACCCCCCGCATCATCATAAAGTCTGCCGCACGTTTCACTTTCAGTTCCATTTTAAACAAACCCAAAAGAATCCTCAAATATTCCAAGTCCAACCGCAGTCAAATACTGTAATCCAGTATTTTACTCATCCAGGAATACATTTATGTTGTGGGCCCTTTCCCATGCTAACTGTACACAACTGCTAATTTGGTTACACAACTGTTTTTTTTGGTAAACTTATATACTAGTTTGAACACACACCCCATCCCTACTCCCCCACCAAAAAAAATACCGCCTGTCTGCACAATATTTTCAAAAGCCATTGCCTGAGAACCAATTCTTTTATTTTTTTAAGCCTACCTCTCATAGAAACGTATATACAGGAAAAAGATTTCACTTGGCCAAGCGTATTTAAATGTAAGACTAAATATATTCGTTATTTTCACAACTGTATCAAAATCTGTATGTGTACTGTGTCCTGTGGTGACAATGTATATCCACTGATGATGCAATAGCTTATAAAAATGTGTTTCGCAGAACTAATCACTTGCATGAATTCTATATAACATAATACCCAAAAGAAGTTAAAGAACACATGATTCTTTCATGTAAGATAGATAATCTGTCATGACATGACGGATTAACTATTGTAAACTGACCCGTGAAACTCCCAGATAGAATAGGTCTTCAGCAAACCATGCTTGCCGCAAAAGGTGACTCTGCTTGTCGTAAAAGGCGACTAATGGGATCGGGTGGTCAGGCTGTATGTATGTATGTATGTATGTATGTATGTATGTATGTATGTATGTATGTATGTATGCATACAAAAGCAGTTACGACTTCTGCATTAGTTTGTTTCTTTGTTTGTTGTTTAATGCCAATTGGGATACAATGACATGCATCAACCAAGTCAGTGAGCCTGACCAACCGATCCTGATAGTCGCCTCTTACGGCAAGCATGGGTTGCTGAAGACCTATTTTACCCGGATCTTCATGGGTCACATTAGTTTGTTGTAACCACTAGTACTAATTACTTTCTGTCTGTGTTTGGTATAACCATGTTCTACTGCAGTTACTGTATTTGCCATAATAAGCGGTCCAGGAACTTAGAAAATTGTTATGGGTGTATGTATGCTATCATAACACAATTATTTTTTGGGTAGAGGTCAAACAATAGTGAAACAAGTATTTCGATAAAAGTTACAAGGCAATTATAGACACCTGTTTTCTCTAAAAAAAATCTGCAATATACAGAACACTATATGGATAGGTCTTAAGTTGGTCAGGAGGTGCTTATTGAAGCAGAGCGCTTTATATGGCAAATACGGTAGGTCAATACGTGCACAGCAACATTATCATGATTATGATATTAATAAAATTGTTTTCCTAATATCAGCGCCAAGCATGTCATCTACATGTGTTAACAAACTGCCAGCCCGATGTGTGCATGATATACGTAACTGACTACGGAAGCCATGTTTGTGTGTGTTATATATCATACTTAATGTTGCTTACTGTGGAGAGATGATGGTGTTGTTACTATCACCTACATGTCACAGTTATATCATTAGTGTCTGTAGGGTGAATTGATGGTGATTTCATAATAAGGAGATATCTACAACTGATTACTAAGCTTTCAGAAAATTACATGGTAACACACCTTTTTTTATTTTGATTTAACATATTAAAACAGTGTTCCTAAAAAAAGAAAGCCTGAATTTTTTTGTATTAGAGAGGTGAGTGTTTATGTGTAATTGTGTATCAATGACTAAATGACTGAACATCTAAGTTAAACATTTTATTTAAAATATTTTTTTCCCCATAATAGAACAAACTATCCTCCATAGGGGTGAAGCAGAGAGTTGGGTCGTACTCTGCTGTGAGCAACTTTCCACCTATACCACATCCGACTCCAGAAACGGGCTTCATACATTGTACCCATTTGGAGAATTTAACCTGGGCCTTTTAACGCTTTACCCAGCCCACCACTCCCCATCTTCATTGCTCCTGACTTGCCCCCCTTTCTCCATTATCATTGCCCCCTCTCTCCATCTTCATTGCCCCCGACTTGCCCCCCCTTTTCCCATCTTCATTGCCCCCCCCCCCCCCCCCCCCCCCCTCTCTCTCCGCTAGTCCTTATAACATATAACAAAACCCTTAAAAAGGGCAAATTTCTACTAGTCCTAAGGATACCTTAACTTCAGAGCAGTTTTGCAAGGATTATAGGACGAGTGCCAATTTCTAACATTTCCCAACTCCCCATCTTCAATCCTATAGGCTCCTATTTTTCTGCTGAAAATGATTTACAAAACAGCTTGATACACATATTGGCACATGACTTTCTTTGATAAACACACACAAGGCAGTGTCCGTCTTACCTTGTGCTGGAGCATTGGTGTTGTTGAATGCTTTTGCAAAGTCAACTTCATTTCCAAAATTGGCAGTGTCTGGAACAAAATCACATCAATAAGCTGAGTTAAATTAAAAAAGTGAGTATGGTCGATTTTATCAATATTCCAGCAATATCATGATGGGGCCGCTAGAACAACTTTCTTCCATTCAAAGTATCTACAAAAATTAAATAACACGATTTTGTTTCATTTCATGCTGCATCCAACAGCATTTCAGTTACATCACAGCAGGTCGGTTCGTGACCCGTAATGGTATTTCCTCAGATCTTTGTTTAGCTATAGCAAGAACTAAGATCTGATTTTAATGAGATTGGAAGTGGGAGGAAGCCTCAAGTGATGCAGGCCTCAGATGTTTAACTTTTAACTTTAAACTTTAAACGAAGCCCTCAAGCATGGATATGGTGCTCACAAACATAGAAACACAATCTGGCATTTCAACCAATGATCATGTTTCTAGAGCACCTAAGGGACACAACTCTGTATGGCAAATATAATTCATGGGTAGGGTTTACAAAGAAGGGTCAGTTCAATATGGGAGTAAAACCCAAAGTGATGTAGATTGTAGCTGTCTACCACTTTTGTGGAACCCACAAGAATTGGTATGCTGCTGGTTGACTAAGGATTGAAAGAGGGTTGAAGGTGGGATCCTTGAACCCAGGAGTGAGTGAGTGAGTTGGGTTTTTACGCTGCTTTGAATAGTATTCAAGTTATATCACGGCAGGTCAGCTTTATGTTGCAGGAAAGCCCAAGTGACGTGGGATGAACTCATAGGTTTCTATTAAGCCAAAGGGATTGATCTCTGCACTGCGAATTGCCTAAGACGACAGTCCCCTTGTACCCAGGAACAAAGTGTCGTAAGAGGCGACTAACAGTATCGGGTTGTCAGACTCGCTGACTTGGTTGATGCATGTTATCGTATCACAACTGCGTAGATTGATGCTCATGATATCAATCACTGGATTATCTGGTGTAGACTTGATTATTTCCAGACCGCCGTCATATAGCTGGGATATTGCTGTGTGCGGCGTTAAACAACAAACAAACAAACAAACAAAGTGTTAAAGTTGGGAGACATACTGTTAGTATTCCAGCCTGTGTTCACAGCAAAGGGGTTGTTGGCTTGCTGTGGCTGTTGCTGCTGGGGTGGCCCGCCGTATGCTGTAGCCATTACACTCTCTACATTCTGTGCAAATGGGTTGGCATTGAGGCTGAGCAAGTCATCGCTTGGTTTCCCATTGGTTGCAGGTGTCGAGGATGCTGTTGGGGAGTTGGGCCCAAACAAATCCACTGATCTGGTCGTCGCTGTCCCCGCAGTGAAGGGGTTCGACTGGGTGGTCGGCGATGAGGTTGGTGTGGTAGCTGAAGTTGACTGTAGTTCCTTCATTCGCTGTTCCTACAATGCACAGGTAACTGATTATGTACACATTAACCCTTGTCACTTGTGGTGTACAGGTTAACACTGATTTCTACTATGCATAGATAACTCATCAGGTGATTTATTTCTCATTCCTTGGTTTACGATTCCGGTGATATTGAAAATGCCAAAGACAAAATATGGATAAATTGACTTTATGATCGCTGTAACTTTGGCTTCAGCTTCTCGGACACCTGTGTACACACGAATATATTTGCAGTTGAAAGACTGGAAAACGTGAACAGGGGCATTGGGCTGTGCTAACATTCTCCTCCATCTTAGTCTGTAAGAATTCTCTAAACACATGGTTCTGAATTGTGTTCGAGGTATTTGGAAATAATATCACCAACTAGCATCACTGTAATCACTCTTTCAAATTTGGAGGAATTAATTTTTAAATTTTTTTTTTGACAACCTACATTGGAAGCAAAATCTTTGTAAATCTTTATAAATGTATATGTTGACACCTGGCCTCTATGCTGCACAGGTAACTCCTTATGTACAGGTCGACATCTGGCCTCTATGGCACACAGGTAACTAAATGCTGCACAGATAACTCGTTACGTACAGGTAAACAAAACACTGTTAGTGTCTAGAAGTTGCTTCATCTATAATTCCAGGCGTAACAGAATGAGGGAATATAGAATAACACTGCTTAATCTGTGACTAGTGATCACTGCTGCTCAACAATTACCATGGTGATATACCTTCGCGACTGATTTACTTAGAGTGAGTTTGGTTTTACGCTGCGTTAAGCAATATTCCAGCAACATTAGACACTAGAAATTGGCCTCACACATTCTACCCATATGGAGAATTGAACCCGGGTCTTCGGCGTGACGCACAAATAATTTAACCACGAGGCTACCCCGCTACCCCTGACTTACTTAAAGATTTTTGGTCAAATGGAACATTTTATTCAGTCATTTTGTGCATTCAAACCATGCATGTGTGCGTACTTGACACAGTATCCATAAGTATCAGCCGGTAACCATCAGATTGAGTGAGAGTGAGTGAGTGAGTGAGTGAGTGAGTGAGTGAGTGAGTGAGTGAGTGAGTGAGTGAGTGAGTGAGTGAGTGAGTGTGTGAGTGAGTGAGTGAGTGAGTGAGTGAGTGAGTGAGTGAGTGAGTGAGTGAGTGTGCATGTGTGTCTTAGAGTATGGTATTACACCGCTTTTAGCAATATTCCAGCAATATTGTGGAGGACACCAGAAAATGGGCTTCACACAACAGAAGAGAGATGGATATACAGTCTGTGCTCTACAACAACCATCTGTATTCAAGCACCTGGAAGATCATGCAGACTACTGAAAGCAACATCTACACATAAACGAACTGTCCAAAGTGTGCATTGTTTCAGTGTTAAGAGTTTTACAAAGAAATTAATCCCGAAACAAACACATGCTCTAGTAATGAACTAGGAAACCAGTTTCTTTCAGTGCAAAGTGAATTATTTCAATTTGGTAAAATGTCTAAATGACTACTGAAAATCATATATTTCTGTAAATACACTACATGCAAAAAAATATTTCTGAAGAGGATGTCATTCCAAAGATAAATACAACGAAATGTGATACAAAATAAAGAAAAATCTAATTTTCATAAACTTAAATGTATTATCCTTTTCCCTGAAATCTGACTTATAAATGTGAGTAAGAGCAGTTTGTTGGGCATGAGACATATTGACATCCTGGCAGTATGAGAACTGCAGCAACATCCATTAGCAAAAAGATCAAATTTAAGACACAGACTCATCAACCTAGTACAGGGGAGACAACTCTATATCCCATAGCACTGTCTGTGTCCTCCATTACGACTAATTGCGTGTGAGAAGCACTTGGAGGTAGATCAAAACAACATTGATATGTTAGTGTAGACACAGTTAATCTGTTAGTTGAGGATAATCACAAACCTTTCCAGTCAACCTGCCAGGGTTCGACTGATGTCACTCCACCGCCAGCCCTATGCCACTGCAGAAACTATTCACGGCCATTTCCTTTTTTCACAAATATTAATTCAGGCACTGACAGACATGGATCATTGTACCTGCTATGAATTTAATTCTGGACGTTGCTATGTGACGAAACGGTCTCGTTAGATACACAGTGAGTGAGTGAATATGTTTTTTTACGCCCCTTTTAGCAATATTCCAGCAATATCACGGCGGGGGACACCAGAAATGGGCTTCACACATTGTACCCATGTCGGGAATCGAACCCGGGTCTTCGGCATGACGAGCGAACGCTTTAACCACTAGGCTACCCTACCGCCCCAGATACACAGTGATTAAGACATCACAAACCATGGGTTCCTATACATTGTCATGGGTCATATCATAATGAAAATATTCATCACGTGGAGAAGGCACCAGGCTGTTTGCAGTCTATTTAACAGAAAAACTAAAATATGTCCTATTATTGCAGCTACTTCAGCATTTAGTTGGCATACACATTAGGGAGGTGAATGGAAGAGCACTTTTAAGCCAAAGGGAGATAATTAACGTGGCAGAGGGCTGTTCACATCTTGCGGATGGCAGTTTGGCTGCACAGGTGACCGTACACAAGCAGCAGCAACAGCAGCGACGTTGACGACATGCCAGTTGAGTCCATGCAGGAGGCATCTACGTCAGTCGACACTGATGAGCTGGATCAGCAGGCAGACACACGGCCAGATCAAGGTAAAGAGTAGCAGTAGAGAAAAGAGATGTCCAGTTGCGATGACCATTGTGGTGTCAAGCTTATACGAAACACTTACTACCTTCAGCTGGTGCAGGCGTTGGTTCTCCTCGTCCAGGATCCGCTTCTTTTCATCCTCGCTTACATTTAACGCTGAGCTGTTGTTGGAGATAGTCGACAGTGCAGATGCAAACCCTGCCGGTCTGTAAGAAACAAGCAAGGATTGATAGCGGCTGGTTCTTGACATCACCCACTCGATAGTCCAAACTACAAAAATTCCCCAGTGATACCAACATTTACTGAAAGCAGGCAGGATTGGTTGGTTGTTGGTTGGTTTAACGCCGCACTCAGCAATATTCCAGCTATATGACGGCAGTCTGTAAAAAAAACGAGTCTGGACCAGACAATCCAGTGATTAATATCATGAGCATCGATCCACGCAATTGGGATCGATGACATGCATCAACCAAGTCAGCGAGCCTGACCCTCGATCCTGTTAGTCGCCTTTTACGACAAGCATAGTCGCCTTTTACGGAAAGCATGGGTTGCTGAAGTTACCTCAAGGCACGGGATGGTGCTGACAAACCAAGGATCATAATGGGTGTGAATTCAAACCTATGACCAGTGGGTCCTGGGAACAATCCATGCTCTTTGAGTCACAATGTGCACGAGGTACAGGGGTCCTGTTCTGTCCTGGAATTCTTGCAGGGATAGACCAGCAGACTTATTTCTATCCTAGAATCCCCACAGGGATAGACCAGCGGACTTATTTCTAACCTGGAATTCTTGCAGGGACAGGTCAGTGGACTTATTTCTATCCTGGAATTCTTGCAGGGACAGGCCAGTGAACTTATTTCTATCCTTGAATTCTTGCAGGGACAGGCCAGTGAACTTATTTCTATCCTGAAATCCCCACAGGGATAGGTCAGTGGACTTATTTCTATCCTGAAATCCCCACAGGGATAGGTCAGTGGACTTATTTCTATCCTGAAATCCCCACAGGGATAGGTCAGTGGACTTCTTCCTGTCTTGGAATCTCCACAGGGATAGGCCAGTGGACTTATTTCTATCCTGGAACCCCCACAGGGATAGGCCAGTGGACCTATCCTTGAATCCCACAGGGACAGGCCAGTGGTTTTAATTCTATTCTGAATCCCCACAGGGGCAGGCCTGTGGACTTATTTCTTTCCTGGAACCCCCACAGGGATAGGTCAGTGGACTTATTTCTGTCCTGGAACCCCCACAGGGATAGGCCTGTGGACTTATTTCTGTCCTGGAATCCCCACAGGGACAGGTCAGTGGACTTATTTCTTTCCTGGAACCCCCACAGGGATAGGTCAGTGGACTTATTTCTGTCCTGGAACCCCCACAAGGATAGGCCAGTGGACTTATCTATCCTTGAATCCCAACAGGGATAGGCCAGTGGACTTATTTATATCCTGGAATTCCCACAAGGATAGGCCAGTGGACTTATCTATCCTTGAATCCCAACAGGGATAGGTCAGTGGACTTATTTCTGTCCTGGAATTCCCACAAGGATAGGCCAGTGGACTTATCTATCCTTGAATCCCAACAGGGACAGGCCAGTGGACTTATTTATATCCTGGAATCTCCACAGGGGCAGGCCAGTGGAGTGATCCTGGAAGCTGTGGAGTTTCTTACTTTGGGGTAGCGGTGGTGGTGGTAACAGATCCCTTCTTTCCCTCCAGAGACAGGAGATGTTGCTCCAGGGCATCAAGGAGACTTGCTGGAGCCTGAAACATACAACCCAGGTCACCACACAACTCACTCAAGTGGGAGAATCTTCTGTGAAAAGTCATTCTAATATTGGAGCCAGTAATACGGTAATGTCTGCAATGTCATGAAAGTCAATGATATTTTTGGTATTACACGTTCTGTTAAGATCACTGGATCTGTTAACATAACACACCATTCTGTTACCATCATTGGGCACATCTTACCGAGGCAAGGGAGTTAACTGACTATAATAGTCCGGATTCCACCCTTGCCGAACTAGGCTGGAATTTCTGGGCTTGATCGTAGCACCACCAGTGGCTATATATCCCTTCTATGTCCCTCCTATTGACCAATCACATTCTACCTCTCATATCACTTGCATTTGCTTCAAAGACAATGGCGGTGCCCCGTCAAGACGATCTGATTGATAATCAAGATCTATATTGTAATAAAACTGGTCTTAATTCGGGAAGTGCATAACATCAAATGAGCATCTTGATTAAAAACATGAAAAGATTTGGAAAATATCTGTTGACACTAATTTGACGGTACACATTCTTTGCAAATCCTACAATCGATTGACATCTGCACGGCTGTTTACGAACTGGATATTGATTTAAGCGTTACGTGCTTTTGATTGGGCTCTGCATAGACTCGTTAGTCCAGCCAAAACATAATACCGGAATTCCAGCCTAGTTCGGCAAGGGTGGAAACTGGACTTTAATAGTCAGTTAATAGTCAACTCCCTTGCCTCGGGAAGATACATCGCGCATTGATGTCATAAACATCGTAAGACATGGTTCTGTGTTAATATCACTAGGCATGGATATGGATTTCTGGTAACAACATCACACACCATTCTGTTATCACCGATAGACATGGAAGACATGGTTCTGTGTAATGCCCACAATACAGTGCTACATGATGGGCTAGATGTAGTCAGTTGGACAGCATTGATGCACATTGTCTATAGAGTTGCAGTACACAAAGCAAAAACTGGCGTCATGCATTACAGAAGAGCTATGATGGAGAACTGTACTTGTAGCAATGCTATGAAGGTGTCAGGGCTGTCAATGCTTCCTTCCCCTCGACATGCTGGGGAAGTTAACTGTCACTGGACAGGAAACAAGTCAATTAACATCTGGCATGTAGCAAAACAAAAAATACCTACAGGGATTTGATTCATACCTGTCGGGATGACAATATTTTCTAAATTTTATGAAGAACATGAAAATAATTGGTTGTCAAGCAATATGACCTTTGAAAAATGTTTTTAGTGTGAAAAGATATGTATGCTACATAGGAGGGTCGGAATATTGAGTCAGACAACAGTAATATGTTTTCATTTGGGTACATACAAATGCTGATATTTCTTTAGCCGAAAACAATATCCATAATATTTCTTTCTTAAAAATATTTTAACAAATAATCTGTTTCAAAGGTACAAAGAAAAAACTAACTTTTTTGCATGAATCTGATTCACCTGTAACAGTGTGCCACTTGTACCCACAAGTCCAAAGCCTGAGTCTAGTAAAAGTCTGTTTGGTCTAGTATTACTAGTAGTAAGCTCAACTAATAGTACATAAAATAACACTTAACTACAGAAAATGGTGCTAGAAGACATGTTCAGGCTAGTAGTATCAAAGTTTTTGGCACGGACTGCTGCAAATGGTATCACTCTATTACTTCCCATTATATTACCTTTCGGAATATTCTTGCATGCTATACCACTGATGCAGCACTAAGCCATTATAGACATGTTGCAGGCTGTTCAAAGGGGGATAACTCACAAGGATTTAAAGACGAGCTATTTAATAGAGCAAGGCTGAAGCTGAAATGGACAGAACAAGTTAGTAAAGGACGTTCAATCCTATGGGTTCATCTGGATTCAAACTTGTCTCACAAATCTGGCACTTACACTTTTCGTATTGTTCCTCATTCCCTGGGAAGAGACAGAAATAAACTAAAAATCAAACAAAAAAACAGGAAACTGGCAACACAGAATTGAACAGAATCAGTTATGAAAATATCTTATCAAAGAAATAATTCCTGGGTTTTATTCTCACAGAATCTCCAGGGACCACTTGCACAAAGCGATCTTAGCGCTACGACGTTCTTAAGCCTATGTTAGAGTATGGGGGTTACGATTATCGTAGTGCTAAGATCGCTTTGTGCAATTGGGCCCTGGAGATTTCATAGACAATATTAACATATCCTGGACAGATTAGGTTTAATTTCTGAACAGTATGAAGACTGATACATGATGATGGAACCCCAGTCTTAATAAAACTTCTTTTGGTCTAGTAAGCGAATAAGAGCCAAATGTTATAAGACCTACCAGTTCTAAAAACACTGCCAAAGTTCAAGTTAGATTTAATAGACTCAAAAGTTTGATTATTAGATTTGTATTTTGATACCAACATCCCTTTAATTTTAAAAGCACAATTTCAGAAAATTCTCTTTATCTTCAAGTAGGAGCGAGTGTTTCAATTTCTGTCATTGTTCCTAAATGACAGCACGTAGAGAGCTTCACTTCTGAGTGGCCAGTGTGAACATAGAAACAAAGATGAATAACAATCTACGTCTACAAAATCAACAGTGCAACAGATAGTGCTGGAAGGACAAAATAGACAGACTATTGAAAGAAACTGTTCTGAATGCAAGAATTAATACTACAACTACACTACACCATGAAAGACCAGAATTGTCTCAGGCCTGAAAACAAATCATTACCAAACTCCTGTTACATTACAAAATACTTTTCAAATTCCTAAACCAGCAATAATCTTCCTAAAACACGAACACATGTGAAAATATTCTTAAAATATTTGTCAGCTGAAGAATACAGCAGAAAATCTGTACTACTTGATCTGTTAGAGATCTGATGGCTGACAATACTGCATCAATGCTCCCAACTCCTACTGTAGATCATCACGTTAAAAAATCCATGCTAGGGACATCATGCACAGAGAAAAACAAGCACATGAGGTCAATAACAAAAGCAATGTTTGTTTGCCCATTCAAACTGAATCTACAAAAGAATATAAATCATGAAATCTTTCAACTGGAATCTTGGGGGCTTTACGATGACACCATATACTACTCAATATTTGCTAAGGACCATGTGCTGATGTGACATAAAATAAAATTCAATACTTGCACAATTCTTTTTTTATGTGACGATGATTTTCAGGATTACAACAATGATTTTCTTTCCACTGATAAATTCAGAATTAACATAAAGGCAGACAAACATCCCTTCAGGTGGTGTCAAACTTGTTTGCCAATCTGCACATTTCTGTAGTTGTCATGGATACCTACCTTGGCCAGATCGGGAATATCCCCTCTGTCGATACCAACATTCTGGGAAAGAGAAAGAACACCATAGTTTCCATATCAACAACAAATACCAAGTTTCAGGTTCAGTTGTAACACAACCAACACTGTAGAGAAATTACTGGAGAAATCTGTTAAAGAGTAAATGAGACTAAAGCAGTGGGCATACAAAGATTTATAACTTCCCTAAAAATGCATCATTTGTTAAAAATTTGAATATATATGTTATGAAGATCAAATAAATTCTACACTTAAGTTATAAATTTCAGTGTTTTGGGGTAAGATTTGAATTATATCATCATGTCCGCCTGATACAAAAATCCGACAATCAAAGACACAATCAGGATTCCTCGTTACATTAGCATCTATACAACAGTTTTTACGCTGGTATCTACTGAAAGCGTCCTAGGATCCTCCATGATGAGATCATGTGTACTATTCAGAGGTGAGGTGAAATGGGGTTTAATGTCACATCCAAGATTATTGCACTTATGTGTGCACGTCTGTGTTTGTGTGGCTGCTTGTACCAGTCCGGAGTGATGCTGATTTATAGTGCTAGCTCACTGAGATGCCATGCCGCAGTTTAACATGAATACCACACTCAGACACAGTATACTGACTCCGAGCCAACCAGTCCTTGTTTTAACCCCTTAATGCCGAGCGTCAGACAGGGTAACAACAAGTACCATCTTTTAATGTCTTTTGGTATGACGCGGCCGGGGATCGAACCCTGGACCTTTCGCTCTCCGGGCGGACGCTCTACCACTAGAACATGGAGGTGTTCCCAGTTTGAAATAAGGATCTGTACTACTCAGAAGAGGCAAAAACAGACCTAATTTTGTCACATGACCATAGTTAATTTGTCATGTCCAATTAAAAATTTGGGTGTTCTTTTACTTCTTTTGAGCAGTATAAAATAAAGGTCAACAAGTATATAATAAGAATAAAGTTCAAAAACATATTTACCTCAGCAACTTTGAGGAATTCGGATACTTTGTCCATGCTGACTAAAAACTTTTTGTAGATGTCGAGGCCTTCTTTACACTGCTTTTTGTTCATGTCAAAATATTTTTCTGAAAAAGAATAATTCCGTTACCAGTCATTCTCAAAACAGATCAAGCCCAAAACCGTTTCACCATGAACATTAATATTAACATTAACAAAACCACAGATGTTTAGCCCATCAGTAAATGAATGTGACTGCTGTTGTATGATGCTTATACAGCATTACAGCTTTATCCAACAGACCCATGACGATCCAGGGTAGAATACGTCTTCAGAAACCCATGCTTGCCGCAATAGGCGACTAATAGGATCAGGTGGTCAGGCTCGCTAACTTGGTTGATGCATGTCATCATATCCCAATTGCGTAGATCGAGGCTCATTATGGCAATCACTGGATTGTCTGTTGCAGACTCGATTATTTACAGATCACCGTCATATAGCTGGAATATTGCTGAGTGCGGCGTTAAACAACAAACAAACAAATCAGTTCAAGACCTCACCTAAAAGATTGATGATTCCGTCATTGTAGCATGCAAATAGTCGTATGAGGTCCTTGAAGAGCAACATGAAACATGCGTTAATCACACCATTCGTCAGCTCGTTTGGCGTACACTGTGGACAAAAAGCAAACAATATAATAGCATGATGTGTATACTTAGATACGTGAACTGAATGTTGCAAAGAAAATCATTTAAGTTTTTTCTACAGCACTTGCCAACAAATGTTATCACTTTCAACACATTTAACATTAAACCTCTGTCCCTAGGTGCCCAAGTGTGGCACTTACACAGTGAACCTTCCGAGTGTAACATTCTACTGTAGCATTGGTGGGTTACACTATGCAAGGTTCATAAAGATATGGAATACTGAAATTCAAGGCCTTTTCAAGACTTTCAACTTTCATTTTCAAGGCTGGTTAGGTTGGATTATTAACCAAATATATGTTAAAATCAAGTACCGTATTCGACGTAATAAGGGCCCTAGTCTAATAAGCGCCCATGGCGATATTTGCTAATATATAGGCTAGTGAACAATCCCAATAAGCACCCTTTCCGATTGATCAATGTACACAAGACTTATCTATAATACTCACTCGTGTGTTATATGCACCCTTAATTATGGGCAATTAAATTCTGGAAAAATATAACTGTTGTATATATACATTTACGGCTGTCAGCATAAACCACGAAATTCACGATCTTTCAACTGTTTTTTTCACCAAAATAATATTCTAATGAGAGTCCCCAATTTTAATATTGAGAGTGCCCTGGGCGCTTATTACATTGAATATGGCAGCAAAACGTAGCATGAAAATCACAAATTTTTCAAGATTTATTTTCACACCTTACTTATAAAAATTACGTCTGTCATAGACTTTGTCATTTTGTACAAATATAAGGCTTTCCAAGGTATTTTCTTGATTTTCAAACTCAAAGCTTTTCAAGATGGACCTTATCATGGCCTTTTCAAGCCTGTATGAAGCTTGAATATGAAGTGCCACAGTATGTATAATTTTATTTGGCAATGCATCACTTTGTATCCAATCTATAAATCAACTATTGCAATATTTGTGACAAACTTATTTTAATACAGCTCCTAGTGCAGCTAGGTATCGGGACTAGAATAAAGAGCCTTGCGAGGGCTAGAGACAGGGATTCATGTTCCAACCTACGTTCAAAGGATGATGATATTTTATCTAATGATGATGTTTCCTTCTGATTGAACAGAACCATTTTATCTTTGTATTTTTGTACAGATAGGAGCACATTGCAGTTATTGTTAAACATATCCCTTTTTGGGATGAGCTGCGTCAGTTCAAATTGTATCCCGACTAAGGCTGGGACGGATAACTCAGGGACTCATGTAGGTTAGGTATTGAGTTGGACCCGGGTACCCGTGGTTAGTCATGTGATATATTGTTTAATGACCAAAATTATCTAGACCTATGGTTACACTACACGTCACTAATGTTCACATTTCTTTCTGACTATACATACATTCCTTCTGACTTTTATGTTAGAATAAAGATAAAACTTATGTCATTTATACATGTATTTAAATACATTTTGTCCAGAGCTACAGTCAAACTAGTCCCAAACAGACATTTTGTACCTATCTCTTGAGACATACTGCGGGTACCCGGAAAAGGTCAGGTAATAGGGAGGGGTGGGTACCTGGGTAGTATATTTGGACTCGTCCCAGCCCTAATGGTGACACTATATGTGCAGATACTGATGAAAGAAGTTGAGAGTATCACATTCCCTAAACCTAAGATTGACAGGATAGTGAGGGTCTGCCTCCTGACATGCTTTCTTGTTATATATCCTACCCAGCCTAAATAGTAAAATAAGCAAGCTATTTGTATCTATTGGGTAATTTGGACAAGGACAGAATATAAAAAGTAGGACTTATTAATACTATTGTGTTCCTTATTAAAAGGAAACTTTTCTGAATACAGATGTTGGGGTCAAGGAGTTTCCTGATTTCAATTCAGGACACAAAATATGACCGAGAATATTGCAAACGTAACAGAAGGAAACAGTTATGAATGAGTCATTGTTTTGTATCATTAAGGATAACAGGATAACCCAATTAGGTGGGTGGGTGGGAGGAGGAGGAGGAGGAGGAGGAGGAGGAGGAAGAGAGAGAGAGAGAGAGAGAGAGAGCATTGAAGTGTCATAGTGAGTGAGTGAGTGAGAGGTTTTACGCCGCTTTTAGCAATATTCCAGCAATATCACGGCGGGGGACACCAGAAAAGGGCTTCACACATTGTACCCATGTCGGGAATCGAACCCGGGTCTTCGCCATGACGAGCGAACGCTTTAACCACTAGGCTACCCGACCAGCCCCGTGTCAGTGACATGTGTCTGGTTTTAGTCAGTTACTGAAATGGGGCCATAAAAAAAACCACAGGAGTCAAAGAGCCCTACTCTGTACATGAGGTGAGGTGAAATGACGTTTAACGTTGTGTTCAAGATTACTGTACTCATATGGTTGGTGTGTGTGTGGGGGGGGGGGGTGTGTGTGTGTGTGTGTGGCTGCTTGTACCAGTCCGGACCGATGCTGATTTTATAGTGCTCGCCCACTTAGATAGCATGCCGCAGTTTAATATGAATATCCCACTCAGACACAGTATACTGACTGTAAACCATCCTTGTTTTAACCCCTTAACGCCGAGCCCCAGACAGGGTTTCAACAAGTACCATCTTATAATGTATTTTGGTATGATGCGGCCGGGATGGAACCCCCGACCTTCCGCTCTCTGCCCTCGAGCTTGACAATGGTATAAGGATCTATACTAAAATGTCGCATTTACAGATGTAACCTGGGCACTCATTGGTTGGAGCACTCCCTCTTACTGGATTCGTTCGTGAATAATTGCCACAAAACTGCAAATCAGCCGTACGTATTGATGGGGGATCAAGAACGTAGTGTATACAAACCGGTCAACTACTGACAATGCATGCCAGTGGGAAGAATCAAAAGTGAGTCATCATCAGAAGACTTACATTAGGAATAACAGGCAGGAATCAAAAACATGTACTCACATCAAATTCTATAAGGGCATTCAGCTGAGTCTGCAGGACTGGCAGCGCTTTCAGTAGCTGGAATAGAACACAGTTGAAATGAAAACAAGCAATCACATGGACATAGAGTACAAGATTAATAACTCATACAACTTAACTACAATTCTGTATCTGATACACTTAAGCCTTGTTGAAATAGCCATGTCTACTCCAATCTTAGCTCTTCGACTGCCATAAGTAATTCCATGGGCATGATCGTCACTGTGATCTTAGTTCTTTGACTGTCGTGAGTAAGTGTTAAAGGAGAGTTACGATTGTCTAAGTGCTAAGATCACTTTATTTTACGGACCCCTTATTATCGTAGGTATATTAAAGTTTGAAGCTGTGACAGTCATTGCACCAGATTGTGGAACAGGAACAGATTATCGAAAGTCTATGTCGAAGTATGTGAGTACAGAACACTTGGAGAGTTAACAATACTCTAGGCCTTCAATAACATCCTTGTTTGTTGTTTAACGCTGCACTCAGCAATATTCCAGAAGGCGGTCTACTATTCAATCCAATCAAGTTTATTCTTTATAACACTGCTTGCGGCACCTGTTGTCAGACATATGAAGTAGTTTACACCAATACCATATGAATTTAACATAATAACCAAAATCAATACCGTATCTGCCGCACTCGGCTAGTGCTGCTTTGTTGGAGACCTGTATACCCACATTGGGTACAAACTTACAGAAGTATGGAATTTGTTAATCACTGGTCTATCCTGGAATCCCTACACTTCAGCCCCATGAAATAATTTGTTTTACCTTACTGTCAAACAATTTAATAACTACACTTGCAGAGATATTTGGGAATTTATATTGCATTTTTTTTTACAGAAAGTAGTGCTATATTTGCTATTGTTGATAGGTCTCTGCACATTTCGTCCATGAAAACCGTGTAGAGAAAAGGGCTCTTGTTGGGCTACAGTTGTAATAACTTGATGTGTTCATGTTTTCCATCCAGGAACCATTTTTTATAACTCTGTAGGTAACCACCGTTTCGAAACACTAGTATCTCTGTTTTATCAATGTTAACCTGCAGCCTGCAATTGAGTCTGGACCTGACAATCCAGTGACTGACATCATGAGCATTGATCTACACAATTGGGATATAGCCCAAAGATAACCTAATGCATGGGGACATGGGGCCCCATTCCACAAAGAAGCCAAAGAGCTATGACTAGCTACGATTTACACTACAACATAAGACTTAAGTTTGTTTGTTTGTTGTTTAACACCGCACTCAGCAATATTCAAGCTACATGACGGCAGTCTGTAAGTAATCAAGTCTGGACCCGATCCTGTTAGTCGCCTCTTACGACAAGCATAGTCACCTTTTACGGCAAGCATGGGTTGCTGAAGACCTATTCTACCCCGGGATCTTCACTGGTCATAAGACTTAAGACGGTCAAGGACACTTCATGCATATTTCTATGATCATCGTAACTTCATTTTAAATCTCAAGATTTCTTGTCCACGCAGGGTCAGTTTTTGTATACAAGGGATAAGGAAAATGATCGTCCGTACCTTTTCTGAGTTCATAGTTCTGAGTAATCCATCATCCTTCCTGTAATGAGAAAAGGGCTAATGAGAGCAGAATGAGAAAACTGACCAAATCTAAACCTTATGAATAAAGCCGAGGAACAAGAAACATGCCACGCCTGATAGAGTGAGTGAGTAAGTATGGTTTTACGCCGCTTTTAGCAATATTCCAGCAATATCACGACAGGGGACACCAGAAATGGGCTTCACACATTGTACCCACGTCGGGAATCGAACCTGGGTCTTCGGCTTGACGAGCGAAGCTTTAACCACTCGGCTACCCGACCACCCCCACGCCTGATAGAACAAACCAGTTACCAAGTATGGGTTTGGATACAAACATCTCTATTACATTACCCATAAAAACCTAGAATCATCAACCACATAGTGAGTGAGTGAGTGAGTTAGGTAAAACACCGCTATGATTAGAAATTTCAGTTATATCCCGACGTGTCAGCTTAACGTGGGAGGAAAGCCCGAAGAGGTGCAGGTCTTAGACATTTAGAAGAAACTGTAACTTTATTGATAGAAAAAAACACAGAATTTTATTATCAGCAGTTAAAAGTATTACGATAACAGACATGGCCTGACAGCAAGAGGCGCCGACATCAAGTCTTGAATGGGCTCCATGAAAGACAACTTACCCACGCTTCACTTTACAGAAATCAAAGGCCATCTGTCTGTAGGAAGTGGCCTTCTCATTTAAATATTTGGCATATCTTCTAATATATGTCGACATATCATATCCCGTAACAGAAACCATTCCTATAAAAAATAATATCAAATATTAAAGAAATTGGTTCCTTTTTAATGATGCATTATTAATCTTTTTCTTGGTGACCTTTGAAATCTCCTCTGAAACATAAAATAGAATTTGAGAGACTTGAAAAACAAATATACAAACTGATAAAATAATTACAGATAAATCGATTACAGATTAATTGATGCAGATCAAAGAATATTAACAATCCTTATAAACATTTAATTGAAATACTTTTAATCAATGTTAATTACGTAATATTGCAAAAGCAGATACATGCACACGCACGCACGCACGCACGCACTCACACACACACACACACACACACACACAATTGGAATAGAAGTTTTGTTTGTTTGTTTGTTGTTTAATGCCGCAATATTTCAGCGGACTGTAAATAATATGATTCTGAACCAGAAAATCCAGTGACTGATACATGAGCATCGATCAACGCAATTGGGATACGATGACATGCATCAACCAAGTCAGCGAGCCTGACCACCCACTCCCGTTAGTCGCCTCTTATGACAAACCATGTAAAGAGTGAGTGAGTGAGTATGGTTTTACGCCCCTTTTAGCAATATTCCAGTAATATCACAGCGGAGGACACTAGAAATGGGCTTCACACATTATTTCCACGTCGGGAAACAAACCCAGGTCTTCGGCATGATAAGTGAACGCTTTAACAAATATGATACCCGACTGCCCCTAAACCATGTATTGACACTAAAACGTAGTGTGAAGTATTTTGTCAAATGGATGTGATGTTTGTGCACTGAGTGTTTTGAGTACAGGAGCTGAGCACACAGAGGGAGGGAAGCCCAAGCAGAAGTAGTCCACAAGAGACAGAGATTACTTGCCCTCACCTTGCATGGCCGCCTTGTCATGGAAACTGCCAAGGTTGAAGGTGCAGTTGTTTGAAGCCAGGTACTGGGTAAATCTCTGAAGAGAGAAAATGAATGAGTGAGTTGGTTAAATGCCACTTTGAACAGTATTCTAGTTATATCATGACTTGCAGCGTTAGAAATTGGCATTAGTCCTGTAGTCCTTATCAAACTGCCCAATAGTTAAGGTATCATAAGAACTCGTTGAAATTTGCTATTTTTAAGTATTTTGCTCTATGTTATCATTATAAGGACTAGTGGACTAAAAATGTAGTTTCTACTGCTGACATGTCAATTTGATTTGGGAGGAAGCCGAAGTGTTGCATGTCTAACACATTTAGCACTTTAGTGAAACCCATGAGCACAGGTATGGTGCTGACAAACCAAGAATCATAATCAGGTGAATCTGGGATTCGAACCTCTTAGGCAGCCGAAGATCACTATCATCATTATTACTCTTTACAGGAGTGAGTGAGTGAGTTGGGTTCAAGGCTGCTTTGAACAGTATTCCAGTTATATCAAGGTGTATCGGCTTAATGTGGGAGGAAAGCCCGAAGTGAAGCAGGTCTCAGACGTTTACCACTTTGGTGAAATCCACAAGCACAGTTACGGTGTTGACAAACCTAGAAAAATAACTAGGGCGAATTGGACCCAACATTATAGGTTTCCGACATTCCCAAGGGAGGTAACTCTGCATTAGCAAATTGCAGCACCAAAGACGACTGGAACTGCACAGGAACCGCACAGGCACCCAACAGGAACCCCACAGGCACTCTACAGGCACCCCACAGGCAACACACAGGAACTCCACAGGCACCCCACAGGGTCAACATGATCAACTGACCTCATTGCCATAGTTCATAAGGTTGTGGATTGTGATGAGAGACTTGTAGACCACGATCCAGTTTGCATGCTGAGTGCGCTCTATCAGGAGGTCGGCCAGTTGGGGGATCGACACGTTTGGTTCGTTCGTGCATTGTAACAAATCTGAAACAAAAATACCATGAATTAACACATTTTAATGTTCAAAAGTACCATGTATGAGAAAAGCTTTGCTAAAAGATCAAGTTTAAGCATAATAAAATCACAGCAACAAGCGTCAATATGTTGCTTAATGGGTCTAAGAATATGTGCGTGAGGTCGGCAATATTACAGCTGTATCAATGGCAAATACCTAATCAAACTAGGACCCGAGTTTGCCAGGGTAAAAGTATGTGCCCCGATCCACACATCTAGATGATCTACCAGAACAAGCAATCAACCAGGTCACACATGAAAGTTTGTGAGTAAATAATGTTCATAGCGGCACCAGCAATAATCTCGACTATTCATGGTGGCATGTGAGTTAGACTTACATTTAGTCTCTGAAAGGAAAATATTTTACAATTTTTGTTTTTCAATTCTCTTTTAATACATCACAGAAAGAAGTCCAGAAAATCTCTTCATTTTTGGCCTGAAAATGAAGTAATCTAGACATGGTAACCAAAATAGTAGACTTGTATGGGGGATCCACATAAATTTGTTTCAGTGTCTGTCTGAGAGACTAACATGGGTCTCCCCTGGAGATCAACCAGGTGCTACTCATTATGACAATTATGTGACATGAGGCATAAATTCTGCTTTGGAAAATCTGCTGAGAATTGGTAATATGAAAATAATGAAATAAAGAGCACAATATATTAATATGATAAATGCTAAGGTTTCACACCTTATCTTTGTTTTCTGTATACAAAATATTCTCAGCCATTGCCGCTGTAAACATGGTAAACCAACAAAGTGAATATTTATAATACTGTGCAAATTTTCAACACTCAACAAGCAGGAAGTTAAAAAAATACTAAGTCTGAAACCATGTGTTGGGGGAGGGGGAGGGGGAGGATGTGTTGGAGTGCATATGAAATTATTTCCAACTGTTACTGTTAGAAGTGTATGTGTTCATCATTTTCCCAGCGCCATGTTACAATGGTGGAATTCCATGTTTTCATTCTTTCCATATGTTTGTAAACACAGTCACTCCAAATGCTGCTTGAGTGGCAACTCACATGGCTCTCGACACAGGGCACATATGCCACTTTCAATACCGTCGACACAGGGCATGTAGGGGATGATCCATACCGTCGACACAGGGCATGTAGGGCACTATCTATACCGTCGACACAGGGTATGTAGGGGACTATCCATACCGACGGCACAGGGCATGTAGGGGACGATCCATACTGACGACACAGGGTATGTAGGGCACTATCTATACCGTCGACACAGGGCATGTAGGGGACTATCTATACCGTCGACACAGCGCATGTAGGGGACTATCTATACTGTCGACACAGGGCATGTAGGGCACTATCCATACCGTCGACACAGGGTATGTAGGGGACTATCCATACTGTCGACACAGGGTATGTAGGGGACTATCCATACTGTCCACAGGGCATGTAGGGCACTATCCATACCGTCGACACAGGGTATGTAGGGGACTATCCATACTGTCGACACAGGGTATGTAGGGGACTATCCATACCGTCGACAGGGCATGTAGGGCACTATCCATACTGTCGACACAGGGCATGTAGGGCACTATCCATACCGACGACACAGGGCATGTAGGGGACTATCCATACCGACGACACAGGGCATGTAGGGGACGATCCATACCGACAACACAGGGTATGGAGGGGACTATCCATACCGTCGACACAGGGCATGGAGGGGACTATCAATACCATCGACACAGGGCATGGAGGGGACTATCCATACCGTCGACACAGGGCATGTAGGGGACGATCCATACTGACGACACAGGGTATGTAGGGCACTATCTATACCGTCGACACAGGGCATGTAGGGGACTATCTATACCGTCGACACAGCGCATGTAGGGGACTATCTATACCGTCGACACAGGGCATGTAGGGCACTATCTATACCGTCGACACAGGGTATGTAGGGCACTATCTATACCGACGACATAGGGTATGTAGGGCACTATCTATACCGTCGACACAGGGCATGTAGGGCACTATCTATACCGTCGACACAGGGTATGTAGGGCACTATCTATACCGTCGACACAGGGCATGTAGGGCACTATCCATACTGTCGACACAGGGCATGTAGGAGACTATCCATACTGTCGACACAGGGCATGTAGGGGACTATCTATACCGTCAACACAGGGTATGTAGGGCACTATCTATACCGTCGACACAGGGCATGTAGGGCACTATCCATACCGTCAACACAGGGTATGTAGAAGACGATCCATACCGTCGACACAGGGTATGTAGGGGACTATCCATACCGACGACACAGGGCGTGTAGGGGACGATCCATACCGTCAACACAGGGCATGTAGGGGACGATCCATACCGTCGACACAGGGCATGTAGGGCACTATCCATACCATCAACACAGGGCATGTAGGGGACTATCCATACCATCAACACAGGGCATGTAGGGGACGATCCATACCATCAACACAGGGCATGTAGGCGACTATCCATACCGTCGACACAGGGCATGTAGGGAGCTATCCATACTGTCGACACAGGGCATGTAAGAGACTATCCATACTGTCGACACAGGGCATGTAGGAGACTATCCATACTGTCGACACAGGGCATGTATAGGGGACTGTCCATACTATCAACACAGGGCATGTAGGGCACTATCTATACCGCCGACACAGGGCATGTAGGGGACGATTCATACCGTCGACACAGGGCATGTAGGGCACTATCCATACTGTCAGCACAGGGCATGTAGGGGACGATCCATACCGTCTACACAGGGCATGTAGGGGACTATCCATACTGTCAGCACAGGGCATGTAGGGGACGATCCATACCGTCAACACAGGGCATGTAGGGGACGATCCATACCGTCGACACAGGGTATGTAGGAGACGATCCATACCGTCTACACAGGGCATGTAGGGCACTATCCATACCGTCAACACAGGGCATGTAGGCAACTATCCATACTGTCGACACAGGGCATGTAAGGCATTATCCATACCGTCGACACATGGCATGTAGGGCAATATCCATACTGGCGACACAGGGCATGTAGGTCACTATCCATACTGTCGACACAGGGCATGTAGGGCACTATCCATATTGTCGACAGGGCATGTAGGGCACTAACCATACCGTCGACACAGGGCATGTAGGGCACTATCCATACCATCGACACAGGGCATGTAGGGCACTATCCATACCGTCGACACAGGGCATGTAGGGCACTATCCATACTGTCGACACAGGGCATGTAGGGCACTATGTATGCAGAGAAATTCAGATGTTTCAATCTTGGGTATAGAGATAGTGAGTGGGTATGGTTTAAGCAACATTGAACCCCTATCAGTGAAAACTCCATCTGTGTGGTCTTTCTTAAACATACTCCACACCCTGTATTCCAAGACCTGTTGCAATGATTCTGAAGCTGTTTATGTGTTTCTTAACGTATGTTTAAACAGTTTGAAAATAAGAATATTCCCTGTGTGAATTCTTCACTAACTATTTGCAAACATATACATGAATAAACAAAGAACAAGGATGTATCTGCAGGGGTCGAAACTAACATATTTAATCCAGTAGTCCTTATAATGATAACACATAGCAAAACCCTTAAAAATGGCAAATTTCTACTAGTCCTTATGATACCTTAACTATTGGCCAGTTTGGCAAGGACTACAGACAGGACTAGTGCCAATTTCTAACACTGTATCTGTAACCTTTATCATGTGTGTAAGTGATTGAGTCAGTTGGATCCATCATAGTCCAGCAACATCACAACAGTTTGCAGCACCAAGTCTGGCTTCACACACATGGGAATCAACCTAGGTGTTAGTATGGCAAAGTGAACACATTAACCATGAGGCTAACACAGTGACAATTACCCACGGGGAGACAGTTCTTTGGCAGGGTCAATTTGGAGGTAAATGTCACCTCAGAAACATCTACGGAACTTCAAAATGAAAATAACATGCTCTCTGAGGTTGCATGATGTGGGGTTAGAAATCAATAGAATTGTTAGGATTAAATAGGCAATTCAGATGAACACATTAATAAATCAATAGTCATTACTACACGTAATATTGGACTGCAGGGGCTCTCTTGTTCAATGGTAGATTTATGAGAGCTCAAAATATCATTGGAATCACAATTCTAATGACTGCAAAGATAAATACACAGTCCTATTATACAAGCCTGTATCAAAAGTTCAAAACTATCATAACAATCATAATAATAACCTGTGACGGGTGTAGTCGTAAACTATCTGAAGAGAAGAGCAGCTGTGGATAGGTCAAGTTGCAATCAACCGCTATTACTTTGATCACAAGCTTCATATAGATAATCAGCTCAACCAAGTAGCAGATATTGTGATGAAGATATCCTCACAAATTGATTCACACTTATGGTGAATGTTGTAGAAGTACTTGGGTGTCTGCCCGCACGCAGCATAAGCCGTTGCTATGTATATCTCACAATGATGACCTCAGTCCAATAATACCACAATATCTGTACACTAGCATTGGAATAGAAGTTTTGTTTGTTTGTTAGTTTGTTGTTTAATGCCGGAATATTCGAGCAGACAGTAAATAATAATTGAGTATGGACCAGACAATCCAGTGATACATGAGCATCGATCCACGCAATTGGGATATGATGACATGCATCAACCAAGTCAGCGAGTCTGACCACCTGATCCCGTTAGTCGACTCCTACTGAGTGAGTGAGTGAGTGAGTGAGTGAGTGAGTGAGTAAGTGAGTGAGCGAGTGAGCGAGCGAGCGAGCGAGTGGAAGAAAGTCTGAGGCAGGCCCTAAACATTAACTGCTTTGGTGAAACTGAAGGTGCTGACAAACCTAGAAAAATAACCATGGCGAACCAAGATTCCACCCACAATCATTGTTCTGTTCTGCCTTACATATACAACTATTCCAGTGAGTTGTTATGAATTGACAAGCACATGGTGCTGTGGGAAC